AGTGTGAGATGTGTCTTTCCCAAAAACAACGCGATCCGTGCTGAGCTGTTAGCTACAGTAGCAGTTAGCTACAGTAGCAGTTAGCTACAGTAGCTGTTAGCTACAGTAGCTGTTAGCTACAGTGGCTGTTAGCTACAGTAGCTGTTAGCTACAGTAGCAGTTAGCTACAGTGGCTGTTAGCTACAGTGGCAGTAGCTGTTAGCTACAGTAGCTGTTAGCTACAGTAGCTGTTAGCTACAGTACTACAGTAGCTGTTAGCTACAGTAGCTGTTAGCTACAGTAGCTGTTAGCTACAGTAGCTGTTAGCTACAGTAGCTGTTAGCTACAGTAGCTGTTAGCTACAGTAGCTGTTAGCTACAGTAGCTGTTAGCTACAGTAGCTGTTTAGCTACAGTAGCGTTAGTACGTAGCAGTCGTAGCTGTTAGCTACAGTAGCAGTTAGCTACAGTAGCTGTTAGCTACAGTAGCTGTTAGCTACAGTAGCAGTTAGCTACAGTAGCTGTTAGCTACAGTAGCAGTTAGCTACAGTAGCTGTTAGCTACAGTAGCTGTTAGCTACAGTAGCTGTTAGCTACAGTAGCTGTTAGCTACAGTAGCAGTTAGCTACAGTAGCAGTTAGCTACAGTAGCTGTTAGCTACAGTAGCTGTTAGCTAGTGCTACTACAGTAGCTGTTAGCTACAGTTTAGCTACAGTAGCTGTTAGCTACAGTAGCAGTTAGCTACAGTAGCTGTTAGCTACAGTAGCTGTTAGCTACAGTACAGTTAGCTACGTAGCTGTTAGCTACAGTAGCTGTTAGCTACAGTAGCTGTTAGCTACAGTAGCTGTTAGCTACAGTAGCTGTTAGCTACAGTAGCTGTTAGCTACAGTAGCAGTTAGCACAGTACGTAGCACAGTAGCGTTAGCTACAGTAGCTGTTAGCTACAGTAGCTGTTAGCTACAGTAGCTGTTAGCTACAGTAGCTGTTAGCTACAGTAGCGTTAGCTACAGTAGCGTTAGCTACAGTAGCGTTAGCTACAGTAGCGTTAGCTACAGTAGCAGTTAGCTACAGTAGCTGTTAGCTACGTACAGTAGTAGCAGTTAGCTACAGTAGCTGTTAGCTACAGTAGCTGTTAGCTACAGTAGCAGTTAGCTACAGTAGCTGTTAGCTACAGTAGCTAGCTGTTAGCTACAGTAGCTGTTAGCTACAGTAGCTGTTAGCTACAGTAGCAGTTAGCTACAGTAGCTGTTAGCTACAGTAGCAGTTAGCTACAGTAGCAGTTAGCTACAGTAGCTGTTAGCTACAGTAGCAGTTAGCTACAGTAGCTGTTAGCTACAGTAGCAGTTAGCTACAGTAGCTGTTAGCTACACAGTAGCAGTTAGCTACAGTAGCAGTAGCTACAGTTAGCTACAGTAGCTGTTAGCTACAGTAGCTGTTAGCTACAGTAGCAGTTAGCTACAGTAGCTGTTAGCTACAGTAGCAGTTAGCTACAGTAGCAGTTAGCTACAGTAGCTGTTAGCTACAGTAGCGTTAGCTACAGTAGCTGTTAGCTACAGTAGCTGTTAGCTACAGTAGCAGTTAGCTACAGTAGCTTTAGCTACAGTAGCAGTTAGCTACAGTAGCTGTTAGCTACAGTAGCAGTTAGCTACAGTAGCTGTTAGCTACAGTAGCTGTTAGCTACAGTAGCTGTTAGCTACAGTAGCAGTTAGCTACAGTAGCAGTTAGCTACAGTAGCTGTTAGCTACAGTAGCTGTTAGCTACAGTAGCAGTTAGCTACAGTAGCAGTTAGCTACAGTAGCGTTAGCTACAGTAGCTGTTAGCTACAGTAGCTGTTAGCTACAGTAGCTGTAGCTACAGTGCGTTAGCTACAGTAGCACAGTAGCGTAGCTACAGTAGCTGTTAGCTACAGTAGCAGTTAGCTACAGTAGCTGTTACAGTCTACACGTAGCTGTTAGCTACAGTAGCTGTTAGCTACAGTAGCAGGTTTAGCTACAGTAGCAGTTGTACAGTAGCTTACAGTAGCTGTTAGCTACAGTAGCTGTTAGCTACAGTAGCTGTTAGCTACAGTACAGTAGCTGTTAGCTACAGTAGCTGTTAGCTACAGTAGCTGTTAGCTACAGTAGCTGTTAGCTACAGTAGCAGTTAGCTACAGTAGCAGTTAGCTACAGTAGCGTTAGCTACAGTAGCTGTTAGCTACAGTAGCTGTTAGCTACAGTAGCTGTTAGCTACAGTAGCAGTTAGCTACAGTAGCAGTTAGCTACAGTAGCTGTTAGCTACAGTAGCTGTTAGCTACAGTAGCTGTTAGCTACAGTAGCTGTTAGCTACAGTAGCTGTTAGCTACAGTAGCTGTTAGCTACAGTAGCTGTTAGCTACAGTAGCTGTTAGCTACAGTAGCTGTTAGCTACAGTCGTTAGCTACAGTGCTGTTAGCTACAGTAGCTGTTAGCTACAGTAGCTGTTAGCTACAGTAGCTGTTAGCTACAGTAGCTGTTAGCTACAGTAGCTGTTAGCTACAGTAGCTGTTAGCTACAGTAGCTGTTAGCTACAGTAGCTGTTAGCTACAGTAGCTGTTAGCTACAGTAGCTGTTAGCTACAGTAGCTGTTAGCTACAGTAGCTGTTAGCTACAGTAGCTGTTAGCTACAGTTAGCTACAGTAGCGTTAGCTACAGTAGCTGTTAGCTACAGTAGCTGTTAGCTACAGTAGCTGTTAGCTACAGTAGCTGTTAGCTACAGTAGCTGTTAGCTACAGTAGCTGTTAGCTACAGTAGCTGTTAGCTACAGTAGCTGTTAGCTACAGTAGCTGTTAGCTACAGTAGCTGTTAGCTACAGTAGCTGTTAGCTACAGTAGCTGTTAGCTACAGTAGCTGTTAGCTACAGTAGCTGTTAGCTACAGTGGCTGTTAGCTACAGTGCTGTTAGCTACAGTAGCTGTTAGCTACAGTAGCAGTTAGCTACAGTAGCGTTAGCTACAGTAGCTGTTAGCTACAGTAGCTGTTAGCTACAGTAGCTGTTAGCTACAGTAGCTGTTAGCTACAGTAGCTGTTAGCTACAGTAGCAGTTAGCTACAGTAGCTGTTAGCTACAGTAGCTGTTAGCTACAGTAGCTGTTAGCTACAGTAGCAGTTAGCTTAGCTACAGTAGCAGTTAGCTACAGTAGCTGTTAGCTACAGTAGCTGTTAGCTACAGTAGCAGTTAGCTACAGTAGCTGTTAGCTACAGTAGCTGTTAGCTACAGTAGCGTTAGCTAAGTTTAGCTACAGTAGCTGTTAGCTACAGTAGCAGTTAGCTACAGTAGCTGTTAGCTACAGTAGCTGTTAGCTACAGTAGCAGTTAGCTACAGTAGCTGTTAGCTACAGTAGCTGTTAGCTACAGTAGCTGTTAGCTACAGTAGCTGTTAGCTACAGTAGCTGTTAGCTACAGTAGCAGTTAGCTACAGTAGCTGTTAGCTACAGTAGCTGTTAGCTACAGTAGCTGTTGCTACAGTGCGTTAGCTACAGTAGCTGTTAGCTACAGTAGCTTTAGCTACTACGTAGCTGTTAGCTACAGTAGCAGTTAGCTACAGTAGCGTTAGCTACAGTAGCTGTTAGCTACAGTAGCTGTTAGCTACAGTAGCAGTTAGCTACAGTAGCTGTTAGCTACAGTAGCTGTTAGCTACAGTAGCAGTTAGCTACAGTAGCAGTTAGCTACAGTAGCTGTTAGCTACAGTAGCTGTTAGCTACAGTAGCTGTTAGCTACAGTAGCTGTTAGCTACAGTAGCTGTTAGCTACAGTAGCAGTTAGCTACAGTAGCTGTTAGCTACAGTAGCTGTTAGCTACAGTAGCAGTTAGCTACAGTAGCATTAGCTACAGTAGCTGTTAGCTACAGTAGCTGTTAGCTACAGTAGCTGTAGCTACAGTAGCTGTTAGCTACAGTAGCTAGCTACAGTAGCTGTTAGCTACAGTAGCTGTTAGCTACAGTAGCTGTTAGCTACAGTAGCAGTTAGCTACAGTAGCTGTTAGCTACAGTAGCTGTTAGCTACAGTGGCTGTTAGCTACAGTAGCTGTTAGCTACAGTGGCTGTTAGCTACAGTGGCTGTTAGCTACAGTGGCTGTTAGCTACAGTAGCTGTTAGCTACAGTAGCTGTTAGCTACAGTAGCTGTTAGCTACAGTAGCAGTTAGCTACAGTAGCAGTTAGCTACAGTAGCAGTTAGCTACAGTAGCTGTTAGCTACAGTGGCTGTTAGCTACAGTAGCTGTTAGCTACAGTAGCTGTTAGCTACAGTGGCTGTTAGCTACAGTAGCTGTTAGCTACAGTAGCTGTTAGCTACAGTAGCTGTTAGCTACAGTAGCTGTTAGCTACAGTGGCTGTTAGCTACAGTAGCTGTTAGCTACAGTGGCTGTTAGCTACAGTAGCAGTTAGCTACAGTAGCTGTTAGCTACAGTGGCTGTTAGCTACAGTGGCTGTTAGCTACAGTGGCTGTTAGCTACAGTAGCTGTTAGCTACAGTAGCAGTTAGCTACAGTAGCTGTTAGCTACAGTAGCTGTTAGCTACAGTAGCAGTTAGCTACAGTAGCTGTTAGCTACAGTAGCTGTTAGCTACAGTAGCAGTTAGCTACAGTAGCTGTTAGCTACAGTAGCTGTTAGCTACAGTAGCTGTTAGCTACAGTAGCAGTTAGCTACAGTAGCAGTTAGCTACAGTAGCTGTTAGCTACAGTAGCTGTTAGCTACAGTAGCAGTTAGCTACAGTAGCAGTTAGCTACAGTAGCTGTTAGCTACAGTAGCTGTTAGCTACAGTAGCAGTTAGCTACAGTAGCAGTTAGCTACAGTAGCTGTTAGCTACAGTGGCTGTTAGCTACAGTAGCAGTTAGCTACAGTAGCTGTTAGCTACAGTAGCAGTTAGCTACAGTAGCTGTTAGCTACAGTAGCTGTTAGCTACAGTAGCTGTTAGCTACAGTAGCTGTTAGCTACAGTAGCAGAATGTAAACAGGACAACGAGGTCGCCGCTGAAGTTAGTATTAGCGCCACCAGCTGGACTGAGCGTCGTACAAAGTTGCTCTGGCAACGTTTGCGAAACACGTTCATGTGGCCGCGGTCCGCTTTCACACCCTGTGGCCGCGGTCCGCTTTCACACCCTGTGGCCGCGGGCCGCTTTCACACCCTGTGGCGACGGTCCGCTTTCACACCCTGTGGCAACGGTCCGCTTTCACACCCTGTGGCGACGGTCCGCTTTCACACCCTGTGGCGACGGTCCGCTTTCACACCCTGTGGCGACGGTCCGCTTTCACACCCTGTGGCCGCGGTCCGCTTTCACACCCTGTGGCCGCGGGCCGCTTTCACACCCTGTGGCGACGGTCCGCTTTCACACCCTGTGGCGACGGTCCGCTTTCACACCCTGTGGCGACGGTCCGCTTTCACACCCTGTGGTGACGGTCCGCTTTCACACCCTGTGGCGACGGGCCGCTTTCACACCCTGTGGCGACGGTCCGCTTTCACACCCTGTGGCGACGGTCCGCTTTCACACCCTGTGGCCGCGGGCCGCTTTCACACCCTGTGGCGACGGTCCGCTTTCACACCCTGTGGCAACGGTCCGCTTTCACACCCTGTGGCGACGGTCCGCTTTCACACCCTGTGGCGACGGTCCGCTTTCACACCCTGTGGCGACGGTCCGCTTTCACACCCTGTGGCGACGGTCCGCTTTCACACCCTGTGGCAACGGTCCGCTTTCACACCCTGTGGCGACGGTCCGCTTTCACACCCTGTGGCAACGGTCCGCTTTCACACCCTGTGGCAACGGTCCGCTTTCACACCCTGTGGCGACGGTCCGCTTTCACACCCTGTGGCGACGGTCCGCTTTCACACCCTGTGGCCGCGGGCCGCTTTCACACCCTGTGGCAACGGTCCGCTTTCACACCCTGTGGCGACGGGCCGCTTTCACACCCTGTGGCCGCGGGCCGCTTTCACACCCTGTGGCGACGGTCCGCTTTCACACCCTGTGGCCGCGGGCCGCTTTCACACCCTGTGGCGACGGTCCGCTTTCACACCCTGTGGCAACGGTCCGCTTTCACACCCTGTGGCGACGGTCCGCTTTCACACCCTGTGGTGACGGTCCGCTTTCACACCCTGTGGCGACGGTCCGCTTTCACACCCTGTGGCGACGGTCCGCTTTCACACCCTGTGGCAACGGTCCGCTTTCACACCCTGTGGCAACGGTCCGCTTTCACACCCTGTGGCGACGGTCCGCTTTCACACCCTGTGGCGACGGTCCGCTTTCACACCCTGTGGCCGCGGGCCGCTTTCACACCCTGTGGCGACGGGCCGCTTTCACACCCTGTGGCGACGGTCCGCTTTCACACCCTGTGGCGACGGTCCGCTTTCACACCCTGTGGCGACGGTCCGCTTTCACACCCTGTGGCGACGGTCCGCTTTCACACCCTGTGGCGACGGGCCGCTTTCACACCCTGTGGCGACGGTCCGCTTTCACACCCTGTGGCGACGGTCCGCTTTCACACCCTGTGGCGACGGTCCGCTTTCACACCCTGTGGCAACGGTCCGCTTTCACACCCTGTGGCAACGGTCCGCTTTCACACCCTGTGGCGACGGTCCGCTTTCACACCCTGTGGCCGCGGGCCGCTTTTACACCCTGTGGCAACGGTCCGCTTTCACACCCTGTGGCGACGGTCCGCTTTCACACCCTGTGGCGACGGTCCGCTTTCACACCCTGTGGCAACGGTCCGCTTTCACACCCTGTGGCAACGGTCCGCTTTCACACCCTGTGGCGACGGTCCGCTTTCACACCCTGTGGCAACGGTCCGCTTTCACACCCTGTGGCGACGGTCCGCTTTCACACCCTGTGGCAACGGTCCGCTTTCACACCCTGTGGCAACGGTCCGCTTTCACACCCTGTGGCGACGGTCCGCTTTCACACCCTGTGGCGACGGTCCGCTTTCACACCCTGTGGCCGCGGGCCGCTTTTACACCCTGTGGCGACGGTCCGCTTTCACACCCTGTGGCGACGGTCCGCTTTCACACCCTGTGGCAACGGTCCGCTTTCACACCCTGTGGCAACGGTCCGCTTTCACACCCTGTGGCGACGGTCCGCTTTCACACCCTGTGGCAACGGTCCGCTTTCACACCCTGTGGCGACGGTCCGCTTTCACACCCTGTGGCGACGGTCCGCTTTCACACCCTGTGGCGACGGTCCGCTTTCACACCCTGTGGCAACGGTCCGCTTTCACACCCTGTGGCAACGGTCCGCTTTCACACCCTGTGGTGACGGTCCGCTTTCACACCCTGTGGCAACGGTCCGCTTTCACACCCTGTGGCGACGGTCCGCTTTCACACCCTGTGGCCGCGGGCCGCTTTCACACCCTGTGGCGACGGTCCGCTTTCACACCCCTGTGGCGACGGTCCGCTTTCACACCCTGTGGCGACGGTCCGCTTTCACACCCTGTGGCGACGGTCCGCTTTCACACCCTGTGGCGACGGTCCGCTTTCACACCCTGTGGCGACGGTCCGCTTTCACACCCTGTGGCAACGGTCCGCTTTCACACCCTGTGGCAACGGTCCGCTTTCACACCCTGTGGCGACGGTCCGCTTTCACACCCTGTGGCAACGGTCCGCTTTCACACCCTGTGGCGACGGTCCGCTTTCACACCCTGTGGCGACGGTCCGCTTTCACACCCTGTGGCGACGGTCCGCTTTCACACCCTGTGGCGACGGTCCGCTTTCACACCCTGTGGCAACGGTCCGCTTTCACACCCTGTGGCGACGGTCCGCTTTCACACCCTGTGGCGACGGGCCGCTTTCACACCCTGTGGCGACGGTCCGCTTTCACACCCTGTGGCGACGGTCCGCTTTCACACCCTGTGGCGACGGTCCGCTTTCACACCCTGTGGCGACGGTCCGCTTTCACACCCTGTGGCGACGGTCCGCTTTCACACCCTGTGGCCGCGGGCCGCTTTCACACCCTGTGGCGACGGTCCGCTTTCACACCCTGTGGCGACGGTCCGCTTTTACACCCTGTGGCGACGGTCCGCTTTCACACCCTGTGGCAACGGTCCGCTTTCACACCCTGTGGCGACGGTCCGCTTTCACACCCTGTGGCGACGGTCCGCTTTCACACCCTGTGGCGACGGTCCGCTTTCACACCCTGTGGCGACGGTCCGCTTTCACACCCTGTGGCGACGGTCCGCTTTCACACCCTGTGGCGACGGTCCGCTTTCACACCCTGTGGCAACGGTCCGCTTTCACACCCTGTGGCGACGGTCCGCTTTCACACCCTGTGGCGACGGTCCCGCTTTCACACCCTGTGGCCGCGGGCCGCTTTCACACCCTGTGGCGACGGGCCGCTTTCACACCCTGTGGCGACGGTCCGCTTTCACACCCTGTGGCGACGGTCCGCTTTCACACCCTGTGGCGACGGTCCGCTTTCACACCCTGTGGCGACGGTCCGCTTTCACACCCTGTGGCGACGGGCCGCTTTCACACCCTGTGGCGACGGTCCGCTTTCACACCCTGTGGCAACGGTCCGCTTTCACACCCTGTGGCGACGGTCCGCTTTCACACCCTGTGGCGACGGGCCGCTTTCACACCCTGTGGCGACGGGCCGCTTTCACACCCTGTGGTGACGGTCCGCTTTCACACCCTGTGGCGACGGTCCGCTTTCACACCCTGTGGCGACGGTCCGCTTTCACACCCTGTGGCGACGGTCCGCTTTCACACCCTGTGGCGACGGTCCGCTTTCACACCCTGTGGCCGCGGGCCGCTTTCACACCCTGTGGCGACGGTCCGCTTTTACACCCTGTGGCGACGGTCCGCTTTCACACCCTGTGGCGACGGTCCGCTTTCACACCCTGTGGCGACGGGCCGCTTTCACACCCTGTGGCGACGGTCCGCTTTCACACCCTGTGGCAACGGTCCGCTTTCACACCCTGTGGCAACGGTCCGCTTTCACACCCTGTGGCGACGGGCCGCTTTCACACCCTGTGGTGACGGTCCGCTTTCACACCCTGTGGCAACGGTCCGCTTTCACACCCTGTGGCGACGGGCCGCTTTCACACCCTGTGGCGACGGTCCGCTTTCACACCCTGTGGCGACGGGCCGCTTTCACACCCTGTGGCGACGGTCCGCTTTCACACCCTGTGGCGACGGTCCGCTTTCACACCCTGTGGCCGCGGGCCGCTTTCACACCCTGTGGCGACGGTCCGCTTTCACACCCTGTGGCGACGGTCCGCTTTCACACCCTGTGGCGACGGTCCGCTTTCACACCCTGTGGCCGCGGGCCGCTTTCACACCCTGTGGCGACGGTCCGCTTTCACACCCTGTGGCGACGGGCCGCTTTCACACCCTGTGGCGACGGTCCGCTTTCACACCCTGTGGCGACGGTCCGCTTTCACACCCTGTGGCAACGGTCCGCTTTCACACCCTGTGGCGACGGTCCGCTTTCACACCCTGTGGCAACGGTCCGCTTTCACACCCTGTGGCGACGGTCCGCTTTCACACCCTGTGGCGACGGTCCGCTTTCACACCCTGTGGCAACGGTCCGCTTTCACACCCTGTGGCAACGGTCCGCTTTCACACCCTGTGGCAACGGTCCGCTTTCACACCCTGTGGCGACGGTCCGCTTTCACACCCTGTGGCGACGGTCCGCTTTCACACCCTGTGGCCGCGGTCCGCTTTCACACCCTGTGGCGACGGTCCGCTTTCACACCCTGTGGCGACGGTCCGCTTTCACACCCTGTGGCGACGGTCCGCTTTCACACCCTGTGGCAACGGTCCGCTTTCACACCCTGTGGCGACGGTCCGCTTTCACACCCTGTGGCGACGGTCCGCTTTCACACCCTGTGGCGACGGTCCGCTTTCACACCCTGTGGCAACGGTCCGCTTTCACACCCTGTGGCAACGGTCCGCTTTCACACCCTGTGGCGACGGTCCGCTTTCACACCCTGTGGCGACGGTCCGCTTTCACACCCTGTGGCCGGGCCGCTTTCACACCCTGTGGCGACGGTCCGCTTTCACACCCTGTGGCCGCGGGCCGCTTTCACACCCTGTGGCGACGGTCCGCTTTTACACCCTGTGGCAACGGTCCGCTTTCACACCCTGTGGCGACGGTCCGCTTTCACACCCTGTGGCGACGGTCCGCTTTCACACCCTGTGGCAACGGTCCGCTTTCACACCCTGTGGCAACGGTCCGCTTTCACACCCTGTGGCGACGGTCCGCTTTCACACCCTGTGGCGACGGTCCGCTTTCACACCCTGTGGCCGCGGGCCGCTTTCACACCCTGTGGCGACGGGCCGCTTTCACACCCTGTGGCGACGGTCCGCTTTCACACCCTGTGGCGACGGTCCGCTTTCACACCCTGTGGCGACGGTCCGCTTTCACACCCTGTGGCGACGGTCCGCTTTCACACCCTGTGGCGACGGGCCGCTTTCACACCCTGTGGCGACGGTCCGCTTTCACACCCTGTGGCAACGGTCCGCTTTCACACCCTGTGGCGACGGTCCGCTTTCACACCCTGTGGCGACGGGCCGCTTTCACACCCTGTGGTGACGGTCCGCTTTCACACCCTGTGGCGACGGTCCGCTTTCACACCCTGTGGCGACGGTCCGCTTTCACACCCTGTGGCGACGGTCCGCTTTCACACCCTGTGGCGACGGTCCGCTTTCACACCCTGTGGCCGCGGGCCGCTTTCACACCCTGTGGCGACGGTCCGCTTTTACACCCTGTGGCGACGGTCCGCTTTCACACCCTGTGGCGACGGTCCGCTTTCACACCCTGTGGCGACGGTCCGCTTTCACACCCTGTGGCGACGGGCCGCTTTCACACCCTGTGGCGACGGTCCGCTTTCACACCCTGTGGCAACGGTCCGCTTTCACACCCTGTGGCGACGGTCCGCTTTCACACCCTGTGGCGACGGGCCGCTTTCACACCCTGTGGTGACGGTCCGCTTTCACACCCTGTGGCAACGGTCCGCTTTCACACCCTGTGGCGACGGGCCGCTTTCACACCCTGTGGCGACGGTCCGCTTTCACACCCTGTGGCGACGGGCCGCTTTCACACCCTGTGGCGACGGTCCGCTTTCACACCCTGTGGCGACGGTCCGCTTTCACACCCCTGTGGCCGCGGGCCGCTTTCACACCCTGTGGCGACGGTCCGCTTTCACACCCTGTGGCGACGGTCCGCTTTCACACCCTGTGGCGACGGTCCGCTTTCACACCCTGTGGCCGCGGGCCGCTTTCACACCCTGTGGCGACGGTCCGCTTTCACACCCTGTGGCGACGGGCCGCTTTCACACCCTGTGGCGACGGTCCGCTTTCACACCCTGTGGCGACGGTCCGCTTTCACACCCTGTGGCAACGGTCCGCTTTCACACCCTGTGGCGACGGTCCGCTTTCACACCCTGTGGCAACGGTCCGCTTTCACACCCTGTGGCGACGGTCCGCTTTCACACCCTGTGGCGACGGTCCGCTTTCACACCCTGTGGCAACGGTCCGCTTTCACACCCTGTGGCAACGGTCCGCTTTCACACCCTGTGGCAACGGTCCGCTTTCACACCCTGTGGCGACGGTCCGCTTTCACACCCTGTGGCGACGGTCCGCTTTCACACCCTGTGGCCGCGGTCCGCTTTCACACCCTGTGGCGACGGTCCGCTTTCACACCCTGTGGCGACGGTCCGCTTTCACACCCTGTGGCGACGGTCCGCTTTCACACCCTGTGGCAACGGTCCGCTTTCACACCCTGTGGCGACGGTCCGCTTTCACACCCTGTGGCGACGGTCCGCTTTCACACCCTGTGGCGACGGTCCGCTTTCACACCCTGTGGCAACGGTCCGCTTTCACACCCTGTGGCAACGGTCCGCTTTCACACCCTGTGGCGACGGTCCGCTTTCACACCCTGTGGCCGCGGGCCGCTTTTACACCCTGTGGCAACGGTCCGCTTTCACACCCTGTGGCGACGGTCCGCTTTCACACCCTGTGGCGACGGTCCGCTTTCACACCCTGTGGCAACGGTCCGCTTTCACACCCTGTGGCAACGGTCCGCTTTCACACCCTGTGGCGACGGTCCGCTTTCACACCCTGTGGCAACGGTCCGCTTTCACACCCTGTGGCGACGGTCCGCTTTCACACCCTGTGGCAACGGTCCGCTTTCACACCCTGTGGCAACGGTCCGCTTTCACACCCTGTGGCGACGGTCCGCTTTCACACCCTGTGGCCGCGGGCCGCTTTTACACCCTGTGGCAACGGTCCGCTTTCACACCCTGTGGCGACGGTCCGCTTTCACACCCTGTGGCGACGGTCCGCTTTCACACCCTGTGGCAACGGTCCGCTTTCACACCCTGTGGCAACGGTCCGCTTTCACACCTGTGGCGACGGTCCGCTTTCACACCCTGTGGCAACGGTCCGCTTTCACACCCTGTGGCGACGGTCCGCTTTCACACCCTGTGGCGACGGTCCGCTTTCACACCCTGTGGCGACGGTCCGCTTTCACACCCTGTGGCAACGGTCCGCTTTCACACCCTGTGGCAACGGTCCGCTTTCACACCCTGTGGTGACGGTCCGCTTTCACACCCTGTGGCAACGGTCCGCTTTCACACCCTGTGGCGACGGTCCGCTTTCACACCCTGTGGCCGCGGGCCGCTTTCACACCCTGTGGCGACGGTCCGCTTTCACACCCTGTGGCGACGGTCCGCTTTCACACCCTGTGGCGACGGTCCGCTTTCACACCCTGTGGCCGCGGGCCGCTTTCACACCCTGTGGCGACGGTCCGCTTTCACACCCTGTGGCAACGGTCCGCTTTCACACCCTGTGGCAACGGTCCGCTTTCACACCCTGTGGCCGCGGGCCGCTTTCACACCCTGTGGCGACGGGCCGCTTTCACACCCTGTGGCAACGGTCCGCTTTCACACCCTGTGGCGACGGGCCGCTTTCACACCCTGTGGCAACGGTCCGCTTTCACACCCTGTGGCGACGGTCCGCTTTCACACCCTGTGGCGACGGTCCGCTTTCACACCCTGTGGCAACGGTCCGCTTTCACACCCTGTGGCAACGGTCCGCTTTCACACCCTGTGGCCGCGGGCCGCTTTCACACCCTGTGGCGACGGGCCGCTTTCACACCCTGTGGCGACGGTCCGCTTTCACACCCTGTGGCGACGGTCCGCTTTCACACCCTGTGGCGACGGTCCGTATGTGACATGTATGTGACATGTATGTGACATGTATGTGACATGTATGTGACATGTATGTGCCGGGACAGTTCACCAGGCTGTATGTTATTGTTATCTATAATTCAGCATTAGCTTTCCCTTTTCTCTGTCATGTATATTTCAGGGTTATGGTTATGGCAGGGTTATGGTTATGGCAGGGTTATGGTTATGGCAGGGTTATGGTTATGGTAGGGTTATGGCAGGGTTATGGTAGGGTTATGGCAGGGTTATGGTTATGGTTATGGTAGGGTTTTAGTTATGGTAGGGTTATGTTAGGGTTATGGTTATGGCAGGGTTATGGTTATGGTAGGGTTATGTTAGGGTTATGGTTATGGCAGGGTTATGGTTATGGTAGGGTTATGGTTATGGTAGGGTTATGGCAGGGTTATGGTTATGGCAGGGTTATGGTTATGGCAGGGTTATGGTTATGGTAGGGTTATGGCAGGGTTATGGTAGGGTTATGGCAGGGTTATGGTAGGGTTATGGCAGGGTTATGGTTATGGTTATGGTAGGGTTTTAGTTATGGTAGGGTTATGTTAGGGTTATGGTTATGGCAGGGTTATGGTTATGGTAGGGTTATGTTAGGGTTATGGTTATGGCAGGGTTATGGTTATGGTAGGGTTATGGTTATGGTAGGGTTATGGCAGGGTTATGGTTATGGCAGGGTTATGGTTATGGCAGGGCTATGGTTATGGTAGGGTTATGGTTATGGCAGGGTTATGGTTATGGCAGGGTTATGGTTATGGTAGGGTAGGGAAGGGTAGGAGGCACAGACCTGAGGGTGACGCTGGAGCATTGGGCCAGTCTCCGTCCCGCACTCTTCAGTCCGGTGTAGATCTGGCCCATCTCGATGGCCCCCTCCAGACCCACCACCTCCAGCAAAGTGTCACTGAGATCTAGAAACACAGACACACACGTGTGAACGGTGAAGGAGACACAGACACACACGTGTGAACGGTGAAGGAGACACAGACACACACGTGTGAACGGTGAAGGAGACACAGACACACACGTGTGAACGGTGAAGGAGACACAGACACACACGTGTGAACGGTGAAGGAGACACAGACACACACGTGTGAACGGTGAAGGAGACACAGACACACACGTGTGAACGGTGAAGGAGACACAGACACACACGTGTGAACGGTGAAGGAGACACAGACACACACGTGTGAACGGTGAAGGAGACACAGACACACACGTGTGAACGGTGAAGGAGACACAGACACACACGTGTGAACGGTGAAGGAGACACAGACACACACGTGTGAACGGTGAAGGAGACACAGACACACACGTGTGAACGGTGAAGGAGACACACACGTGTGAACGGTGAAGGAGACTTAAGGCGCGTTCAGACCAAAAGCTTCAAAAAGCTTTTGACGCGCTTCAACTGACGCCGGGATAGTTTTGTCATTTTGGTGCTTGAAGCTTTTGACGCGAGTGACGCGCCTGACGCCGGTGGGAGGAGCTTCTCTGTTGCCTGTGGGAGGAGCTTCTCTGTTGCCTGTAGTCAGGACTGCGGTGGATTTTTCAATGGCAGCGAGCCTTTATTTGTTATATAAAGCAAAATAACGTTGTTGTAGGGCTTCAACAAAACATGTTCTGGGTTCACCACAGACTTGAGAGGCTGCAGTTGTTTGCAGAGTTCCGTCATTTACTCCAGGAGCTGCGTACGGAGGAGTTTCGCTTTCAGCGGTACTTCCGCATGTCACTCGCCCAGTTGAGTTCTCAAACCCCGGAGCTCGCCTCTCCTTGCCTCTCCCCGGCTCTCCCCGGCTCTCGCTCGCCACTCCCTGCCTCTCCGCGGCTCTCGCTCGCCTCTCCCCGGCTCTCGTTCGCCTCTCCCTGCCTCTCCCCGGCTCTGGCTCGCCTCTCCCCGGCTCTCGCTCGCCTCTCCCTGCCTCTCCCTGCCTCTCCCTGCCTCTCCCGCCTCGCTCTCGCCTCTCCCTGCCTCTCCCCGGCTCTCCCTGCCTCTCCCGGCTCTCACTCGCCTCTCCCTGCCTCTCCCCGGCTCTCGCCCGCCCGGAGCTGCCTTGCTCTGAGCCAGACCCATCGTCAGCCTGTTCTTATATTAAATAAACTACGTTTACTACACAGCATGTGTACAATGATTTTTGTTACTCAGAATTTTACTACTCATACAAATAATATTACTAATAACAATAAAACAGCAGCAGCAGATACATGACTTCTCTTCATGACAGAGACAGACCCTCTGCTGCTGCTCGTCTCCTGATTGGTTGAAGCCCGCGTCAAAGCTTCAAAAGCTCAGCTTTGCTCAGCTTCGGCGTCAGAGGGATTGTTGTGATACGCGAGCGTTTCGCGCGTCAAAAGCTTCAAGTGAGCGCGTAGTACGCGCGACTCTTGAAGCTTTTGACGCGCGTCAAGTGACGCCGGGGCTCTCGGCTTCACCTGACGCGCTTCACCATTCACTTTCAATGGAAACCTGACGCTTTTGACGCCGAAGTTAAGTCCGGTGTGAACGCCCCTTTACAGTCATCTGATCATGTGTGTGTGTGTGTGTCTGTGTGTGACTGTGTGTCTGTCTGTCTTTGTGTGTGTGTGTGTGTGTGTCTCTGTGTGTATGTGTGTGTCTTTTAGGACTCAACAAGATATCAAAAAATAATAATTATTGCGATATTGGTACATGCAATATCCGTATAGACAAGATGCGCAATAATTTTTAATTATTTATTTTGTTTTTTTCCTTTATTAAAGACAACAAAACAGACACATCCACATTTAACAAGAACAACAAACAAACAAACAATTATATAAATAAATGCATTTGGATGTTATTAATGTTGTTATTTGTCTTGTGTTTCAAAGCAGAAGCAATTTTAGGTGAAAGACAAAAATATCGCAATAATATCGTTATCGCAAGAAACACACATATCGAACATCGCAGCCCTAGTGTCTGTGTGTGTGTGTGTGTGTGTCTGTGTGTGTGTCTGTGTGTGTCTGTGTGTGTGTGTGTGTGTGTGTCTGTGTGTGTCTGTGTGTGTGTGTGTGTGTCTGTGTGTGTGTGTGTCTGTGTGTGTGTCTGTGTGTGTCTGTGTGTGTGTGTGTCTGTGTGTGTGTGTCTGTGTGTGTGTGTCTGTGTGTGTGTGTGTGTCTATGTGTGTCTGTGTGTGTGTGTGTGTGTGTGTGTGTGTGTGTGTCTGTCTGTTATTCGGACTCTAAAATGAATCACTTTAAAATAATGCATTGTTATGTTCTTTAAATCCATGGAACGAACACAAAGTCCACATAAAGTCTGACAGAGGAGCATGGACCTGCAGGAGATCAGTCTGACAATAAACAGGACCAGCAGAAGCAGCCATCGCCCCGGGGTCCGAGCCCAGACCAGACCAGAGCAGCCCAGACCAGCCTAGACCAACCCAGCCTAGACCAGACCAGACCAGCCCAGCCTAGACCAGATCAGACCAGCCCAGTCCAGTCCAGCCCAGCCTAGACCAGCCTAGACCAGCCCACACCAGACCAGCCCAGCCCACACCAGACCAGCCCAGCCCAGCCCAGTCCAGTCCAGTCCAGCCCAGCCCAGTCTAGACCAGCCTAGACCAGCCTAGACCAGCCCAGCCCAGCTCTCTGCCTGTTGTGGAACAAACAATGTTAATAATGTCCTGATCTTGTCCGACCTCACCCTCTCGTCCTTGATCCAGAAAACACAAATACTTCAAAGAAAACATCTTGAAACTACTTTTATCAGCGGAACAACTGCTTTGAACAATTTCAGAGGAGTTTTGTCCAAATGTGCACTTGGCATTTGAAAAGTACCATTATTTGGTGCAAGCGACGGAGAAGTAGAAGGAAATGCACTTTGACGCTGACTCACTGGCTCTTTAAGTTGTAAATATACACTTTCATAGAAAATGTCAGTCCAGAACTGAACAAACATTTTGGAATGAGCAGAGTAACAAGAACATGTCGAGGGACATCTTCCTGGAAAATCCAAGGAAAGAAAAACAAACGCCAAAGTTGAGCCATTACTGTATTTCCTCCTCGTTACGAATCATTTAGAAAACATTGTTATTGATTATTCGTTTTTCTGTCCCAACACTGTTTTTTGATCAGTCCCATTTTTTTTTAATAACTGTCTGTTTTGTTCTTTCCAGGATTATATTAAAGGGAGATAACCTAAAAATCCACTTTTCTCTTTTTGGCCACTCTTTACAATCCAAACAACACAACAGTTTTAAAAGTGTCATTTCCATACTTGTGTACCTCTAAATGCGGTACATACTGCCCTTTTTGTACGCCACTACTTCCTGAAGCCTAATTTGGGCATTTCCAGGTGGTGCCAGTACGGACGCTGAGTTTCCCACTGTTTGCAGCTCCCTGGGTCCCGCCTCATCACATCGCTCTGACTCTCGGCACCAGCACCGTTTCTTTCTCAGCGAGGTAGAGCTAAGAATAGACCAGAACAGTCTCTTACATAAGCCATGGTGCAGTGCATTATGGGATGGGATGGTTACAGCTCTGCCAAACAGTAGGAGAGCTCCCATCGTGACTGCTGTGTGCATTCTTTTCTCATTGTTAAGGCGCTGAGAAACATGTTTTGCCTTCAAAGATTCATAGAGAAGCTTGTTCTGAATTGTATTGAATGGACTTAAATAAATGTTGCATTGAAATGAATTATAGAAAAGTTCATATTATTTTATTTCATCATATATTATTATATTATAAGACCTTTAGACGTTCAGTGCTATTTTTATTTATCTATATTTAGCAGCAAGATCTCTTCAAAGACAATTAAAATGAGGTGCAGTGACGGAATGGTTTGGAAAAAAGTGGAAAACCTGCAGATATGTGACATCACAATAACCATAATATTCACAATAACCATAATATTCACAATAACCACAATATTCACAATAACCACACATTGTGAATTGTAAATTAGGGCTGTAACAAGTGTATGTATTTTATGTATATATTATTGTCTTATTGGAGTGGGACGATGGGACATATGAATCAACATGTGTCTGAGTAAATATCACAGATTTACCAACAGAAGCCCACGGCAGGTTTATGTTACAGCCGAAAAACAATTTTAAAATCTTTCAGTCATAAAAACACAGGTGACTAAAAGCAGCAACAATTGAAGGACAAACAGACACTATGTTTTTAATTTTATCAATGTTCATGAAGCGGTAAAAAGCCGCTGATGTCAGCGACCTGAGGGTTAGGGTTCATTCAGGTTCTTCTGTGTTGATCTTTTAAAGCCACTGCTCTGCTGGATGAAGGAGTGAGTCCTCTGCTCCATGTTCATCACTTCATTTATTCCTTTTCTCTTACAATGACTTCATTATGTGACAAACACAGACTATTTGTAATGAAACAAACTAATGTGTAACACCTATGAAGACGTTCTCCAGGGACAGCACTTGAGATTATTTGGGTCAATTGTATAAAAATCCCATAATCATACTTTTTACAATCTAACCCAACTAATCGATGAATCAAAAGAATAATCAGCCAAAATACCAACCATCAAAACAATCTGCTAATTACAGCGCTAACACAAACGTGAAAGGCAGACTGGATGATCAAAATGTGCTGCAGAAGCCACTGTTTTTACAAAAATACTGACGCCTTTGTCCCTTCCATCGGGATGTTTAAAAATATCGGATGAGCTGAAGATCTGAGATGCTGTTTTGTGTTTGAGGCGTTTGGCTATAATTATCAGCGGCATATTTGAGTGTCCTTCTCCGCCCACGGCCCTCCCTCGCTCTTTCTGGCCGGACAGTTCTCGTCTCGGTGTGGACAGTGCCGAGGCAGATGGTCAAAGCCAGAGCCCACGGCCCCAAACACAAGAGAGAGCACTTGGACCCATGTCAAGAAACAATATGTGATGAATCTGTCGTAAACATTCACTGCATTTCTGCCCGAGCTGCTGCTGTCGAGGCACAAACCGACTGTTTCAAAACCACAAATGTGTACATTTCTATTTTGGAGGTCCAACTAAGTGTTTACGGAGGATGGGTCAAACACAGAGCACAGATGGTCTACAGAGACAACAAAACACACAACTGTTTCAGGGCAGTGTGTGTTGATATAGAAAAATGGCTGATGCCTTTTGGTAAAGACTTTGGATCGACACCAATGCAGCTCTGAACATTAGAACTTATACAACAACAACAACTTATCCTTGTATAGTATATTCTTGTATCTCAGACTTAACAAAACCATTGAACTTATGCACTGAAAACACAAAACCCTTCTGCAGAAACTTCCTCTGGATTTAATTTACAAATACATTCTTTAAAAATCCTACAATGTGAATTCCTGGATTTATTTTCACATTCTGTCTCACAGTTGAAGTGAACCTATGATGAACATTAAAGACCTCTGTCTTTATTCTAAGTGGGAGAACCTGCACAATCGGTGGCTGACTAAATACTTTTTTGCCCCACTGTATATATAGGCTACATAGTACAGTACGACAGTATCTCCGTTGGTAGAGCATTGGCCTTTGAGCCTGAAGGTTGTGGTCCCACTGATGTCTGCTGTCGTTGTGTCCTTGGGCAAGACACTTAGGCCCTGTCCACACGAAGTCAAGCTCAGGCCTAAACGCAAAAATACTTTATCAATCCAGTGTATCGTCCATACGAGGCCGGCGTTTTGGGGGGGTGTAAACGAACATTTTTGAAACTAGGTCCCAGAGTGGAAAGATTTCAAAACTCCGTATATGCCGCTCCGTGGTTACTGCCTCTCCGCAATGTATCTGAGACGCTTCATCGCCCCGCCTCTTGTTAAAGCAGCATGCGCCGCACTCAGAAAATAATGACAACAACAATGTAGCTTGTTGGTTTTGTAATCCAGTGTGACCCGAAGCAACAGTTCAACCTCATCGTCCGTCCATACTAATGTAGTACCAGCTCGCCCACTCGCCATGTTGTCTGTTTACAACATTCTGCGCATGCCCAGTTCCCGTCACGGAAGTTTGGGCTTGATCCAGTCATTGCGTCACAGCGCCACCAACAGGTCTGGCATAGTTTCACAGCGTTTTCAGGCGTATTGACTACATTCATATGGACGCACACATTTACTGAGCTAACTCCGTGTTTACAGAAAAAGTTTCTGAAATTATAAGCGTTTTGTCTTCGTGTGGATATAGCCTTAACCTCTGGGAACAGCAGGTGCCACAGTGGGGCGGCTGCGGCTGTAAAGTGACAGACTGTGGTTGTGTCCTTAGGCAAGACACTTCCCCCACATTAGAATGAGTCTGGTGTGTGTGTGAATGGTTGGTGGTGGTGGGAGGGGCCGATGGCACAGACTGGTTGCCTCGCTTCTGTCAGTGTGCCCCAGGGCAGCTGTGGCTACAGTAGTAGTTTATCACCACCGTGTTTGGAGAGAAAGAATAATGTTGTGAAGAGACTTTGAGAGTCTGAAAAAGCAGTGTATAAAACTGATTAAATAATGTTCAGGTACAAACATTTTCAGTTCATACATTTATGTTATTGTTGCTTGAAGTTAGATCGACCCATGGTTCAGTTTAGTTTGGAGTGGGCCATAATCCAAGAGGGAAAAAATACACGGTCTGCGACAAATCTCACCATGAAGCAAGACTCTCATTAACATGAAGCACAGTTGAAGGTCCAGTAAGTAGTAGTAAGTAATCTTTATTTATATACCGCCTTTTCACTGCACATCGGAGTCTCAAAGCGATTTACAATTGTTATTTTTGGGAGTGGGGCCAGTACAGGAGGCACATGCCAGACCTATTGTACATATTTTTAGTGGTAGGGGAAACCGGAGCACCCGGAGGAAACCTACGCAGACACGGGGAGAACATGCAAACTCCACTCAGAAAGGCCCTGGTCCAACCGGGATTCGAACCCAGGACCTTCTTGCTGAGAGGCGAGAGTGCTATCCACTCAGCCACCGTGCCGCCCGGTGACCAGTCTCACCTGGTCACATGCTCACATGGTCCCAGTATTTCTATATATTTGGATATATTTTCAGCTGCATTTACCAGCAGCAGTGATCTACAGTTATTATAGTCTGCAGTTTATTCAGTGTAAGAATAAAACTAAACACTACAGAGACTTGAATGGAACGTTTAGAAATAATGGACTTTAGAGGAATGCGGGGAAGCTGGCCCGAGTGTCAAAGTGAGACAGCAGAAGTCACATTCAAAGTTGCCAAAAGATTTATTTTGCACAACAAGCAATCCTGTCCCTTGTGTGTGACTCCCCTTGACGAGGTTCACTTGTGAGCTTTTATCATTGTAGCTCCGCCCACATGAGTTTGCCTACAAAACAAAATGGCTGTCCGAGACACACCCTCACAAAACAGGTAATACATTCAATAAAAGTGGCATTAAAAGGGACAAAGGAACCTGCTTTGTCACAAGGAAGAAGAGGAAGGTGCTTTGGGAAGAGTAGATCAAAGGTTTAAAGTTGGATTAAAGGGCCCTAATCTGTCATCTATAAAGGGCCCTTATCTGTCATCATTAAAGGGCCTGTTGTGGAAATTCTGTACATACCGAGAGTAAAATAATGTAAACAACTCAGAGCTGTAATTCCAAACAAAGTGTGAGTTTATTAATTAGTAAATGTGCACAATTACAATGAATAACAGAACCGATACCAATACCACCGGGCAGCCGTCTGAAATCGACTGCCCCGATTGAGGAAATGACTGTACATTAAATAGACCAGAGTAAACAAACACATATCTACTCTAGATATTACATAAATGAAGTCAACATTGATATGTGTTGCTCAAGGCTTCTCTTTACGCCTCCTAACGCTGATACAACTCTGATATATGTAACAATCTGCTTTTGAACTGAACATATTGTTCTATGACCCAGGTCAAAAACATGATGCAGCACGTCTCCATCTATCACTGACCTGAGCCAACAGAGCATTATGGCCTGTATCTGAATCTCCATCTATCACTGACCTGAGCCAACAGAGCATTATGGCCTGTATCTGAATCTCCATCTATCATTGACCTGAGCCAACAGAGCATTATGGCCTGTATCTGAATCTCCATCTATCACTGACCTGAGCCAACAGAGCATTATGGCCTGTATCTGAATCTCCATCTATCACTGACCTGAGCCAACAGAGCATTATGGCCTGTATCTGAATCTCCATCTATCACTGACCTGAGCAACTGAGGCCATCTGAACTCCATCTACATGAGAGCCAACAGAGCATTATGGCCTGTGTCTGAATCTCCATCTATCACTGACCTGAGCCAACAGAGCATCATGGCCTGTATCTGAATCCAGAGTTCACTGTTAGTTAATAACTTACACTCAGAACTATTTGGTGTTAATTCAGATTGCTTTACTAAAATATTTCTATAACAGGCCCTAATCTGTCATCAATAAAGGGCCCTAATCTGTCATCAATAAAGGGCCCTAATCTGTCATCAATAAAGGGCCCTTATCTGTCATCATTAAAGGGCCCTAATCTGTCATTATTAAAGGGCCCTAATCTGTCATCATAAAAGGGCCCTTATTTGTCCTCATTAAAGGGCCCCATGGAGCTGGACGTCAGAATAAACTCATGCAGCTTATGCATCCATGCATCAGTCTGAACACAGCCTTAAGTGTCTACAAAACAACAGAAATCGATGTAGTTCTAGCATCCGGCCAGTAGGGGACAGTGGAACTTTACAACACGACCACGTAGGGGCAGACCTGGAATAAGAATTATTCAATGCTCCCTCTGGAAAACGTCTTTACAGGATGGTCCTTAAGTGGTTCTTGGTCCAAAAGTGGCTCTTGGTCCAAAAGTAGTTCTGGACAACTGTGCGTGTTCAAATGTACGTGCAGGAAGTGAGGAGGTCAGTACTTGTTAGAATGATATTAGTTCCACTGCCCAAAGACGAGCCAAAGACAAAGGAACCAAACACTTTTCATCAAGAGGAAGTTTAAGAAATGGTAAAGTGAAGCAAAGAGGAAGTAAACCTGCAGCTCAGATGAAGTGAAATAAGTCCTGAATGATGTAAATCCTCTTCCTGTTCACAGTCCCACACATTCAGGACAGTCTGGCCCAGGCCGGTCCGACAGTGTCTTTCTTCTGTGTTTCCCAAACATGTTACAGCTGTTAACATTTTGGTAGCTGGAAGAAGCTGGACAAGGTCATCATGAAGTCCTGTCCCTGGACACAGTGCAGCAGGTGGGGGACAGGAGGGTCCTGAGAAAACTAACATCTATGCTGGACCATGACTGTCGCCCCCTGCAGGACACTCTCTCTGCTCCGGAGAGCAGCTTCAGTGACAGACTAATTCACATTCAGGTGGCTCACTGACTTCCTGATGGACAGGAAGCAGCGAGTGCGTCTGGGGAAGAATGTCTCGGACTCTCGGATTATAAATACAGGAGTCCCACAGGGCTGTGTTCTGTTTGGGGAAGAGGACCCTCGACGCATGTGGAAGGGGATCAGTCTTATCACGTCCTGGAAACCAAGTGCAGGGAAAATTGCTGCTGGCCAAGCTCTGCCAAACGAGCTCAACGACTTTTACTGCCGCTTTGAATCTGCTGATCCCCTGCCTTTTGTCTTCCCCGAATGTCAGGGTGCCTTCACAGTGACTCACGAGGAAGTACGGCGGGTCTTGTCCAGGACCACAGCTCGGAAAGCCGCAGGCCCGGACTGCATTCCTCCCCGCGTCCTGAAACTGTGCTCCGAGCAACTTGCCCCTGTTTTAACGGACATCTTTAACTTGTCACTCAGGAGCTGTACGGTGCCGGTGAGCTTTAAAAGGTCCACCATTATTCCAGTTCCTAAGAAAACTCCTGTGACATGCCTGAATGACTATCGTCCTGTGGCCCTCACGTCTGTTCTTATGAAAACTTTTGAGCGGCTTGTGCTGGAGTTCATTAAGAGCCAGATCCCTGTGAGTGTTGACCCGCTCCAGTTTGCTACAGACAGAACAGGAGTGTGGAGGATGCATCTCCTTTGCTCTGAACTCTGTCTACAGTCACTTGGACACTAGTAAATCTGTCGCGAGAATGCTTTTCATCGATTATAGCTCTGCTTTTAACTGCCCTGTCCCAGGTAAACTGATTGAAAAGCTCATGTCTCTGGGTTTAAGTGTTGCCAAGTGTAAATGGATTTTTAGCTTTTTAACTGACAGATCTCAGAGAGTGTTTTTTCTGATGTTGTTTCTGTGAGCACTGGTTCTCCTCAGGGATGTATTTTGAGTCCTTTGCTTTTTACTTTATACACTCACGATTGTGTGTCCTCCTCTGACTCTAACTTGATCATCAAATACGCTGATGACACCACCATCATCGGTCTCATCAGTGACACTGATGATTCCTCTTACAGAGCAGAGATCGAACATGTTTTTCAGTGGAGTAAAGTAAACAATCTCCAGCTGAACACTGCAAAAACATGTGAACTTGTCTTTGACTTCAGTCGTAGCAGTTCTCACACTCCTGTTGTTATTGACAACTCCCAGGTGCAGATCGTAGAGGAGCAAGTTTCTGGGTTTAACTCTGTCTAACCTGAAATGGGTTAAAAACACTGACCGAGTCATTAAGAAAGCTCGTCAGCGGCTCTTCTTTTTGCGGAAACTTAGAGAATTTACCACTAACTCTAAGATTGTGCTTAACTTTTATGGCTGCACCATTGAGAGTTTACTTGTTGGTTCTGTGTCTGTGTGGTTTGGAAACATCACAGATAAAGAAAAGAGAGCTTTAAACAAGGTGCTCCGCTCTGCAAAGAGGACCGTGGGCTGTGAGCTTCCTGTTCTGGAGGTTCTTTACAAATCCAGACTTTTAAACAAAGCTCTTAAAATCATCAATGACTCTTCTGGCCACCCTGGGAAAGCCATGTTCCAGCTTCTTCCCTCTGGCAGAAGATATCAGTCGCTGAGATGCAAGACATCTCGCTATGCTAACAGCTTCTTTCCACAGGCTGTTAGGTGCCTAAACAGAGCACTTTAATTCCTGCTTTTACCTCTTGTATCGTTTTGTTGATCAGTGCCACAGTGTCAGCTGTTTTTTTATTATTTTATATTCAGTGTATGTGTATTTTATATTACATTGTATCGTGCTTTTTATTCTGTCGGTGCACACAGAGTACCTTTCTCTGCAAATGTATTCCAATGTAGTTTTTATACTGCACATGGCTAATAAAATGAATCTGAATCTGAATCTTTCTCCCCTGTTCTTCTCCCTGTACACCAACCACAGACGTTGGTGCAGTTCTACACGGCCATCATCGAGTCATCCTCACCTCCTCCATCACCTCCTCCATCACCTCCTCCATCACCTCCTCCATCACCTCCATCTCCTCCTCCATCACCTCCTCCATCTCCTCCTCCATCACCTCCTCCATCACCTCCTCCATCACCTCCATCTCCTCCTCCATCACCTCCTCCATCTCCTCCTCCATCACCTCCTCCATCACCTCCTCCATCACCTCCTCCATCTCCTCCTCCATCACCTCCTCCATCACCTCCTCCATCACCTCCTCCATCACCTCCTCCTTCACCTCCTCCTTCACCTCCTCATCACCTCCTCCATCACCTCCTCCATCACCTCCTCCATCACCTCCTCCATCACCTCCTCCATCACCTCCTCCATCACCTCCTCCATCACCTCCTCCATCACCTCCTCCGTCACCGTGTGGTTCGCTGGAGCCACAGTCAGGGACAAACAGAGACTACAGTGCATTGTGCGCTCTGCAGAGGAAGTGATCGGCCGCAGCCTTCCATCGCTGCAGGACCTGTACGTCGCCCGAGCTCGAGGCCGGGCTGGTCGTATCACAGCCGACCCCTCCTCACCTGCACATGGACTATTCCAACCACTCCCCTCTCACCTGCACATGGACTATTCCAACCACTCCCCTCTCACCTGCACATGGACTATTCCAACCACTCCCCTCTCACCTGCACATGGACTATTCCAACCACTCCCCTCTCACCTGCACATGGACTATTCCAACCACTCCCCTCTCACCTGCACATGGACTATTCCAACCACTCCCCTCTCACCTGCACTATTCCAACCACTCCCCTCTCACCTGCACATGGACTATTCCAACCACTCCCCTCTCACCTGCACATGGACTATTCCAACCACTCCCCTCTCACCTGCACATGGACTATTCCAACCACTCCCCTCTCACCTGCACATGGACTATTCCAACCACTCCCCTCTCACCTGCACATGGACTATTCCAACCACTCCCCTCTCACCCTGCACATGGACTATTCCAACCACTCCCCTCTCACCTGCACATGGACTATTCAACCACTCCCCTCTCACCTGCACATGGACTATTCCAACCACTCCCCTCTCACCCTGCACATGGACTATTCCAACCACTCCCCTCTCACCTGCACATGGACTATTCCAACCACTCCCCTCTCACCTGCACATGGACTATTCCAACCACTCCCCTCTCACCTGCACATGGACTATTCCAACCACTCCCCTCTCACCTGCACATGGACTATTCCAACCACTCCCCTCTCACCTGCACATGGACTATTCCAACCACTCCCCTCTCACCTGCACATGGACTATTCCAACCACTCCCCTCTCACCTGCACATGGACTATTCCAACCACTCCCCTCAGGCAGGAGGCTGCGGTCCATCAGGACTAGAACCTCCCGCCACAAGAACAGTTTCTTCCCCTCTGCTGTTGGACTCTTGAACACTTCTTAACCTGTCCCCCCGCCCTTTATAAAGTCACTTTACTGCCCATCATACGTCACTTTACTTCACTGTACTGCTGTCACCTTACATTGTGTGCACCATGTGCACTTGTATATTGTAAATAGTAACTGTAACTCTATTTTAAATTTAAATGTATTCCTTAGAAGTGTTTTTTATTCTTTATTTTTATTATCTCTTTCTGTCTGTTGCACTGAGCCAAAGCAATTTCCAAGTCTGTGACTTCCTGTTACTTACGTGGAAATAAAAATTATTCTGATTCTGATCCCTGTGTGCTCTTACTACTGTCCTGTATGTGCGCTGCAACAACAAAATTTCCCCACTGTGGGACGAATAAAGGAACTCTTATCTTATCTTATTTTGAAGGATCTTCATTCTCTCAAATGCGTAAGATGTGTTTTTGGGCAAAAGTAAACGAAGGTGGAAAAGCAAATAATTATTGATATCAGAAGAGAGAATATATATTAGAGAAAATGGTTATATTTGCATTTAGTACAGTTTTTCATTTTGGTCTTCACATCATGTCTGGGCCGTGTAGAAACTTACATTTCATGATTGTTGTGAACATGGCCAGAACTATTGACTTCAGCTGAAAACACCATCCATCCATCCATCCATCCATTTTCTTCCCCTTAATCCATTTCTGGGTCAGGGGGGGTGGCAGTCAGAGCTGCACCCAGTACACTTAGCACCAGCCCCTCACTGATCCTCCTGCAGGTGGTGAGTCCACAGGAGCTGAGATCTTTCAGTGCGAGCTTCAGGCAAAGTGGGGTTAAGTGTCTTGCCCAAGGACACAACGACAGCAGTCATCAGTGGGAGTCGTGAAGTTAGGTCTTATGGTGGGCTTGAACCCACGACCTTCACGCCCAAAGGCCAATGCTCTACCAACTGAGCTACTGTCGCCCTCATATGTGAAAACACATATGTGACAAATCTATTCCACACTGCAACAGCCACTGGTGAAACGGATCAATAACAAATACAATATAATGTATTTAAGAAGCTTCAGGCCTGTGCATGTTGCAGATGACACTGCTGTAGATATGTTAGAGTTTGTCTGTGTGCAGATGACACTGCTGTAGATATGTGAGAGTTTGTCTGTGTGCAGATGACACTGTAGATATGTGAGAGTTTGTCTGTGTGCAGATGACACTGTAGATATGTGAGAGTTTGTCCGTGTGCAGATGACACTGCTGTAGATATGTTAGAGTTTGTCTGTGTGCAGATGACACTGCTGTAGATATGTGAGAGTTTGTCTGTGTGCAGATGACACTGTAGATATGTGAGAGTGTCCGTGTGAGAGACACTGTAGATATGTTAGAGTTTGTCTGTGTGCAGATGACACTGTAGATATGTGAGAGTTTGTCTGTGTGCAGAAGACACTGTTAGATATGTGAGAGTTTGTCTGTGTGCAGATGACACTGTAGATATGTGAGAGTTTGTCCGTGTGCAGATGACACTGTAGATATGTTAGAGTTTGTCTGTGTGCAGATGACACTGTAGATATGTTAGAGTTTGTCTGTGTGCAGATGACACTGTAGATATGTGAGAGTTTGTCCGTGTGCAGATGACACTGCTGTAGATATGTTAGAGTTTGTCTGTGTGCAGATGACACTGCTGTAGATATGTTAGAGTTTGTCTGTGTGCAGATGACACTGCTGTAGATATGTGAGAGTTTGTCTGTGTGCAGATGACACTGCTGTAGATATGTGAGAGTTTGTCTGTGTGCAGATGACACTGTAGATATGTGAGAGTTTGTCCGTGTGCAGATGACACTGTAGATATGTTAGAGTTTGTCTGTGTGCAGATGACACTGTAGATATGTGAGAGTTTGTCTGTGTGCAGATGACACTGTAGATATGTGAGAGTTTGTCTGTGTGCAGATGACACTGTAGATATGTTAGAGTTTGTCTGTGTGCAGATGACACTGTAGATATGTTAGAGTTTGTCTGTGTGCAGATGACACTGCTGTAGATATGTTAGAGTTTGTCTGTGTGCAGATGACACTGCTGTAGATATGTTAGAGTTTGTCTGTGTGCAGATGACACTGTAGATATGTGAGAGTTTGTCTGTGTGCAGATGACACTGTAGATATGTGAGAGCATGAACTATGTTAATATGGATTGTCTGTGCGTGTGCGGTCTGTCGATGTAGAACAAAAGCCAGGACACTGGTTCTGAAACGCCTCGGGCTTCTTTCACTCTGCCTGATCACATTATCTGTGCTAAATGGATTTGAAAGATTTTGTTTATTGTTCCAGAGAAAGCAAACTGCCATAAACAATTACACTTACGATAAGCATGTGCCATCACCACAGGAGAAGAACCAGAGCATACACAAAGGCAAATAAATAGTTTATATCTTTAAAAAACACCATACGTACTAGGACTATTGGAGCTCAGGGAGTGTCTTTACTCAGTGTGTAATGAGATCAAGACAAACTCTGCAAACGAGGCCAGTGTTTTGGCTTTAAGGACGAGGAATATATGTCAGTGCGTTGGCTTTAAGGACCTGGTAGTTATGTCCAAGTGCTTTTAAGGACCCACGTGCGTTGGCTTTAAGGACCTACGGTAGGATTATGACAAGTGTTGGCTTTAGAACCTGGTAGGATTAATGTCAGTCCTACGTAGGATTGGTCAGGACAGTGCTTTAGAGAGTGGAGCCACTAGGAGTTTAAAGATTAATGTTGCGACATTGGCGCACGGACATGTTGTAAAGCACAGACTGCTCTGTAGAGACAAACGGACTGTTCTGTAGAGACGCACGGACTGCTCTGTAGAGACGCACGGACTGCTCTGTAGAGACGCACGGACTGCTCTGTAGAGACGCACAGACTGTTCTGTAGAGACGCACGGACTGCTCTGTAGAGACGCACGGACTGTTCTGTAGAGACGCACAGACTGTTCTGTAGAGACGCACGGACTGTTCTGTAGAGTCGCACGGACTGTTCAGTAGAGACGCACAGACTGCTCTGTAGAGACGCACGGACTGTTCAGTAGAGACGCACGGACTGTTCTGTAGAGACGCACGGACTGTTCAGTAGAGACGCACGGACTGCTCTGTAGAGACGCACAGACTGTTCAGTAGAGACGCACGGACTGTTCAGTAGAGACGCACAGACTGCTCTGTAGAGACGCACAGACTGTTCTGTAGAGACGCACAGACTGTTCTGTAGAGACGCACGGACTGCTCTGTAGAGACGCACGGACTGCTCTGTAGAGACGCACGGACTCCGTGCGTCTCTACAGAGCAGTCCGTGCGTCTCTACTGAACAGTCCGTGCGTCTCTACAGAACAGTCCGTGCGTCTCTAACAGAGCAGTCCGTGCGTCTCTACAGAACAGTCCGTGCGTCTCTACTGAACAGTCCGTGCGTCTCTACAGAACAGTCCGTGCGTCTCTACAGAGCAGTCCGTGCGTCTCTACAGAACAGTCCGTGCGTCTCTACAGAGCAGTCCGTGCGTCTCTACAGAGCAGTCCGTGCGTCTCTACAGAACAGTCTGTGCGTCTCTACAGAACAGTCTGTGCGTCTCTACAGAGCAGTCTGTGCGTCTCTACTGAACAGTCCGTGCGTCTCTACTGAACAGTCTGTGCGTCTCTACAGAGCAGTCCGTGCGTCTCTACTGAACAGTCCGTGCGTCTCTACAGAACAGTCCGTGCGTCTCTACTGAACAGTCCGTGCGTCTCTACAGAGCAGTCTGTGCGTCTCTACTGAACAGTCCGTGCGACTCTACAGAACAGTCCGTGCGTCTCTACAGAACAGTCTGTGCGTCTCTACAGAACAGTCCGTGCGTCTCTACAGAGCAGTCCGTGCGTCTCTACAGAACAGTCTGTGCGTCTCTACAGAGCAGTCCGTGCGTCTCTACAGAGCAGTCCGTGCGTCTCTACAGAGCAGTCCGTGCGTCTCTACAGAACAGTCCGTTTGTCTCTACAGAGCAGTCTGTGCGTCTCTACAGAACAGTCCGTGCGCATTACAATGTCAACAACATTAATCTTTAAACTCCTAGTGGCTCCACTCTCTAAAGCACTGTCCTGACACAATCCTACCGTAGGTCCTTAAAGCCAACGCACTGACATAATCCTACCGTAGGTTCTTAAAGCCAACGCACTGACATAATCCTACCGTAGGTCCTTAAAGCCAACGCACTGACATAATCCTACCGTAGGTCCTTAAAGCCAACGCACTGACATAATCCTACCGTAGGTCCTTAAAGCCAACGCACTGACATAAATCCTACCGTGGGTCCTTAAAGCCAACACACTGGCCTCGTTTGCAGAGTTTGTCTTGATCTCATTACACACTGAGTAAAGACACTCCCTGAGCTCCAATAGTCCTAGTACGTATGGTGTTTTTAAAGATATAAACTATTTATTTGCCTTTGTGTATGCTCTGGTTCTTCTCCTGTGGTGATGGCACATGCTTATCGTAAGTGTAATTGTTTATGGCAGTTTGCTTTCTCTGGAACAATAAACAAAATCTTTCAAATCCATTTAGCACAGATAATGTGATCAGGCAGAGTGAAAGAAGCCCGAGGCGTTTCAGACCAGTGTCCTGGCTTTTGTTCTACATCGACAGACCGCACACGCACAGACAATCCATATTAACATAGTTCATGCTCTCACATATCTACAGTGTCATCTGCACACAGACAAACTCTCACATATCTACAGTGTCATCTGCACACAGACAAACTCTAACATATCTACAGCAGTGTCATCTGCACACAGACAAACTCTAACATATCTACAGCAGTGTCATCTGCACACAGACAAACTCTAACATATCTACAGTGTCATCTGCACACAGACAAACTCTAACATATCTACAGTGTCATCTGCACACAGACAAACTCTCACATATCTACAGTGTCATCTGCACACAGACAAACTCTCACATATCTACAGTGTCATCTGCACACAGACAAACTCTAACATATCTACAGTGTCATCTGCACACGGACAAACTCTCACATATCTACAGTGTCATCTGCACACAGACAAACTCTCACATATCTACAGCAGTGTCATCTGCACACAGACAAACTCTCACATATCTACAGCAGTGTCATCTGCACACAGACAAACTCTAACATATCTACAGCAGTGTCATCTGCACACAGACAAACTCTAACATATCTACAGCAGTGTCATCTGCACACGGACAAACTCTCACATATCTACAGTGTCATCTGCACACAGACAAACTCTAACATATCTACAGTGTCATCTGCACACAGACAAACTCTAACATATCTACAGTGTCATCTGCACACGGACAAACTCTCACATATCTACAGTGTCATCTGCACACAGACAAACTCTCACATATCTACAGTGTCATCTGCACACAGACAAACTCTCACATATCTACAGTGTCATCTGCACACAGACAAACTCTAACATATCTACAGTGTCATCTGCACACGGACAAACTCTCACATATCTACAGTGTCATCTGCACACAGACAAACTCTCACATATCTACAGCAGTGTCATCTGCACACAGACAAACTCTAACATATCTACAGCAGTGTCATCTGCACACGGACAAACTCTCACATATCTACAGTGTCATCTGCACACAGACAAACTCTCACATATCTACAGTGTCATCTGCACACAGACAAACTCTCACATATCTACAGCAGTGTCATCTGCACACAGACAAACTCTAACATATCTACAGCAGTGTCATCTGCAACATGCACAGGCCTGAAGCTTCTTAAATACATTATATTGTATTTGTTATTGATCCGTTTCACCAGTGGCTGTTGCAGTGTGGAATAGATTTGTCACATATGTGTTTTCACATATGAGGGCGACAGTAGCTCAGTTGGTAGAGCATTGGCCTTTGGGCGTGAAGGTCGTGGGTTCAAGCCCACCATAAGACCTACTTCACGACTCCCACTGATGACTGCTGTCGTTGTGTCCTTGGGCAAGACACTTAACCCCACTTTGCCTGAAGCTCGCACTGAAAGATCTCAGCTCCTGTGGACTCACCACCTGCAGGAGGATCAGTGAGGGGCTGGTGCTAAGTGTACTGGGTGCAGCTCTGACTGCCACCCCCCCTGACCCAGAAATGGATTAAGGGGAAGAAAATGGATGGATGGATGGATGGATGGTGTTTTCAGCTGAAGTCAATAGTTCTGGCCATGTTCACAACAATCATGAAATGTAAGTTTCTACACGGCCCAGACATGATGTGAAGACCAAAATGAAAAACTGTACTAAATGCAAATATAACCATTTTCTCTAATATATATTCTCTCTTCTGATATCAATAATTATTTGCTTTTCCACCTTCGTTTACTTTTGCCCAAAAACACATCTTACGCATTTGAGAGAATGAAGATCCTTCAAAATAAGATAAGATAAGAGTTCCTTTATTCGTCCCACAGTGGGGAAATTTTGTTGTTGCAGCGCACATACAGGACAGTAGTAAGAGCACACAGGGATCAGAATCAGAATAATTTTTATTTCCACGTAAGTAACAGGAAGTCACAGACTTGGAAATTGCTTTGGCTCAGTGCAACAGACAGAAAGAGATAATAAAAATAAAGAATAAAAAACACTTCTAAGGAATACATTTAAATTTAAAATAGAGTTACAGTTACTATTTACAATATACAAGTGCACATGGTGCACACAATGTAAGGTGACAGCAGTACAGTGAAGTAAAGTGACGTATGATGGGCAGTAAAGTGACTTTATAAAGGGCGGGGGGACAGGTTAAGAAGTGTTCAAGAGTCCAACAGCAGAGGGGAAGAAACTGTTCTTGTGGCGGGAGGTTCTAGTCCTGATGGACCGCAGCCTCCTGCCTGAGGGGAGTGGTTGGAATAGTCCATGTGCAGGTGAGAGGGGAGTGGTTGGAATAGTCCATGTGCAGGTGAGAGGGGAGTGGTTGGAATAGTCCATGTGCAGGTGAGAGGGGAGTGGTTGGAATAGTCCATGTGCAGGTGAGAGGGGAGTGGTTGGAATAGTCCATGTGCAGGTGAGAGGGGAGTGGTTGGAATAGTCCATGTGCAGGTGAGAGGGGAGTGGTTGGAATAGTCCATGTGCAGGTGAGAGGGGAGTGGTTGGAATAGTCCATGTGCAGGGTGAGAGGGGAGTGGTTGGAATAGTCCATGTGCAGGTGAGAGGGGAGTGGTTGGAATAGTCCATGTGCAGGTGAGAGGGGAGTGGTTGGAATAGTCCATGTGCAGGGTGAGAGGGGAGTGGTTTGGAATAGTCCATGTGCAGGGTGAGAGGGGAGTGGTTGGAATAGTCCATGTGCAGGTGAGAGGGGAGTGGTTGGAATAGTGCAGGTGAGAGGGGAGTGGTTGGAATAGTCCATGTGCAGGTGAGAGGGGAGTGGTTGGAATAGTCCATGTGCAGGTGAGAGGGGAGTGGTTGGAATAGTCCATGTGCAGGTGAGAGGGGAGTGGTTGGAATAGTCCATGTGCAGGTGAGAGGGGAGTGGTTGGAATAGTCCATGTGCAGGTGAGAGGGGAGTGGTTGGAATAGTCCATGTGCAGGTGAGAGGGGTCGGCTGTGATACGACCAGCCCGGCCTCGAGCTCGGGCGACGTACAGGTCCTGCAGCGATGGAAGGCTGCGGCCGATCACTTCCTCTGCAGAGCGCACAATGCACTGTAGTCTCTGTTTGTCCCTGACTGTGGCTCCAGCGAACCACACGGTGACGGAGGAGGTGATGGAGGAGGTGATGGAGGAGGTGATGGAGGAGGTGAGGAGGAGGTGATGGAGGAGGTGATGGAGGAGGTGATGGAGGAGGTGATGGAGGAGGTGATGAGGAGGTGAAGGAGGAGGTGAAGGAGGAGGTGATGGAGGAGGTGATGGAGGAGGTGATGGAGGAGGTGATGGAGGAGGAGATGGAGGAGGTGATGGAGGAGGTGATGGAGGAGGTGATGGAGGAGGAGATGGAGGAGGTGAGGGGAGGAGGAGATGGAGGTGATGGAGGAGGTGATGGAGGAGGTGATGGAGGAGGAGATGGAGGAGGTGATGGAGGAGGAGATGGAGGTGATGGAGGAGGTGATGGAGGAGGTGATGGAGGAGGTGATGGAGGAGGTGAGGATGACTCGATGATGGCCGTGTAGAACTGCACCAACGTCTGTGGTTGGTGTACAGGGAGAAGAACAGGGGAGAAAGATTCAGATTCAGATTCATTTTATTAGCCATGTGCAGTATAAAAACTACATTGGAATACATTTGCAGAGAAAGGTACTCTGTGTGCACCGACAGAATAAAAAGCACGATACAATGTAATATAAAATACACATACACTGAATATAAAATAATAAAAAAACAGCTGACACTGTGGCACTGATCAACAAAACGATACAAGAGGTAAAAGCAGGAATTAAAGTGCTCTGTTTAGGCACCTAACAGCCTGTGGAAAGAAGCTGTTAGCATAGCGAGATGTCTTGCATCTCAGCGACTGATATCTTCTGCCAGAGGGAAGAAGCTGGAACATGGCTTTCCCAGGGTGGCCAGAAGAGTCATTGATGATTTTAAGAGCTTTGTTTAAAAGTCTGGATTTGTAAAGAACCTCCAGAACAGGAAGCTCACAGCCCACGGTCCTCTTTGCAGAGCGGAGCACCTTGTTTAAAGCTCTCTTTTCTTTATCTGTGATGTTTCCAAACCACACAGACACAGAACCAACAAGTAAACTCTCAATGGTGCAGCCATAAAAGTTAAGCACAATCTTAGAGTTAGTGGTAAATTCTCTAAGTTTCCGCAAAAAGAAGAGCCGCTGACGAGCTTTCTTAATGACTCGGTCAGTGTTTTTAACCCATTTCAGGTTAGACAGAGTTAAACCCAGAAACTTGCTCCTCTACGATCTGCACCTGGGAGTTGTCAATAACAACAGGAGTGTGAGAACTGCTACGACTGAAGTCAAAGACAAGTTCACATGTTTTTGCAGTGTTCAGCTGGAGATTGTTTACTTTACTCCACTGAAAAACATGTTCGATCTCTGCTCTGTAAGAGGAATCATCAGTGTCACTGATGAGACCGATGATGGTGGTGTCATCAGCGTATTTGATGATCAAGTTAGAGTCAGAGGAGGACACACAATCGTGAGTGTATAAAGTAAAAAGCAAAGGACTCAAAATACATCCCTGAGGAGAACCAGTGCTCACAGAAACAACATCAGAAAAACACTCTCTGAGATCTGTCAGTTAAAAAGCTAAAAATCCATTTACACTTGGCAACACTTAAACCCAGAGACATGAGCTTTTCAATCAGTTTACCTGGGACAGGCAGTTAAAAGCAGAGCTATAATCGATGAAAAGCATTCTGGCCACAGATTTACTAGTGTCCAAGTGAGTGTAGACAGAGTTCAGAGCAAAGGAGATGCATCCTCCACACTCCTGTTCTGTCTGTAGCAAACTGGAGCGGGTCAACACTCACAGGGATCTGGCTCTTAATGAAGTCCAGCACAAGCCGCTCAAAAGTTTTCATAAGAACAGACGTGAGGGCCACAGGACGATAGTCATTCAGGCATGTCACAGGAGTTTTCTTAGGAACTGGAATAATGGTGGACCTTTTAAAGCTCACCGGCACCGTACAGCTCCTGAGTGACAAGTTAAAGATGTCCGTTAAAACAGGGGCAAGTTGCTCGGAGCACAGTTTCAGGACGCGGGGAGGAATGCAGTCCGGGCCTGCGGCTTTCCGAGCTGTGGTCCTGGACAAGACCCGCCGTACTTCCTCGTGAGTCACTGTGAAGGCACCCTGACATTCGGGGAAGACAAAAGGCAGGGGATCAGCAGATTCAAAGCGGCAGTAAAAGTCGTTGAGCTCGTTTGGCAGAGCTTGGCCAGCAGCAATTTTCCCTGCACTTGGTTTCCAGGACGTGATAAGACTGATCCCCTTCCACATGCGTCGAGGGTCCTCTTCCCCAAACAGAACACAGCCCTGTGGGACTCCTGTATTTATAATCCGAGAGTCCGAGACATTCTTCCCCAGACGCACTCGCTGCTTCCTGTCCATCAGGAAGTCAGTGAGCCACCTGAATGTGAATTAGTCTGTCACTGAAGCTGCTCTCCGGAGCAGAGAGAGTGTCCTGCAGGGGGCGACAGTCATGGTCCAGCATAGATGTTAGTTTTCTCAGGACCCTCCTGTCCCCCACCTGCTGCACTGTGTCCAGGGACAGGACTTCATGATGACCTTGTCCAGCTTCTTCCAGCTACCAAAATGTTAACAGCTGTAACATGTTTGGGAAACACAGAAGAAAGACACTGTCGGACCGGCCTGGGCCAGACTGTCCTGAATGTGTGGGACTGTGAACAGGAAGAGGATTTACATCATTCAGGACTTATTTCACTTCATCTGAGCTGCAGGTTTACTTCCTCTTTGCTTCACTTTACCATTTCTTAAACTTCCTCTTGATGAAAAGTGTTTGGTTCCTTTGTCTTTGGCTCGTCTTTGGGCAGTGGAACTAATATCATTCTAACAAGTACTGACCTCCTCACTTCCTGCACGTACATTTGAACACGCACAGTTGTCCAGAACTACTTTTGGACCAAGAGCCACTTTTGGACCAAGAACCACTTAAGGACCATCCTGTAAAGACGTTTTCCAGAGGGAGCATTGAATAATTCTTATTCCAGGTCTGCCCCTACGTGGTCGTGTTGTAAAGTTCCACTGTCCCCTACTGGCCGGATGCTAGAACTACATCGATTTCTGTTGTTTTGTAGACACTTAAGGCTGTGTTCAGACTGATGCATGGATGCATAAGCTGCATGAGTTTATTCTGACGTCCAGCTCCATGGGGCCCTTTAATGAGGACAAATAAGGGCCCTTTTATGATGACAGATTAGGGCCCTTTAATAATGACAGATTAGGGCCCTTTAATGATGACAGATAAGGGCCCTTTATTGATGACAGATTAGGGCCCTTTATTGATGACAGATTAGGGCCCTTTATTGATGACAGATTAGGGCCTGTTATAGAAATATTTTAGTAAAGCAATCTGAATTAACACCAAATAGTTCTGAGTGTAAGTTATTAACTAACAGTGAACTCTGGATTCAGATACAGGCCATAATGCTCTGTTGGCTCAGGTCAGTGATAGATGGAGATTCAGATACAGGCCATAATGCTCTGTTGGCTCAGGTCAGTGATAGATGGAGATTCAGATACAGGCCATAATGCTCTGTTGGCTCAGGTCAGTGATAGATGGAGATTCAGATACAGGCCATAATGCTCTGTTGGCTCAGGTCAGTGATAGATGGAGATTCAGATACAGGCCATAATGCTCTGTTGGCTCAGGTCAGTGATAGATGGAGATTCAGATACAGGCCATAATGCTCTGTTGGCTCAGGTCAATGATAGATGGAGATTCAGATACAGGCCATAATGCTCTGTTGGCTCAGGTCAGTGATAGATGGAGATTCAGATACAGGCCATAATGCTCTGTTGGCTCAGGTCAGTGATAGATGGAGACGTGCTGCATCATGTTTTTGACCTGGGTCATAGAACAATATGTTCAGTTCAAAAGCAGATTGTTACATATATCAGAGTTGTATCAGCGTTAGGAGGCGTAAAGAGAAGCCTTGAGCAACACATATCAATGTTGACTTCATTTATGTAATATCTAGAGTAGATATGTGTTTGTTTACTCTGGTCTATTTAATGTACAGTCATTTCCTCAATCGGGGCAGTCGATTTCAGACGGCTGCCCGGTGGTATTGGTATCGGTTCTGTTATTCATTGTAATTGTGCACATTTACTAATTAATAAACTCACACTTTGTTTGGAATTACAGCTCTGAGTTGTTTACATTATTTTACTCTCGGTATGTACAGAATTTCCACAACAGGCCCTTTAATGATGACAGATAAGGGCCCTTTATAGATGACAGATTAGGGCCCTTTAATCCAACTTTAAACCTTTGATCTACTCTTCCCAAAGCACCTTCCTCTTCTTCCTTGTGACAAAGCAGGTTCCTTTGTCCCTTTTAATGCCACTTTTATTGAATGTATTACCTGTTTTGTGAGGGTGTGTCTCGGACAGCCATTTTGTTTTGTAGGCAAACTCATGTGGGCGGAGCTACAATGATAAAAGCTCACAAGTGAACCTCGTCAAGGGGAGTCACACACAAGGGACAGGATTGCTTGTTGTGCAAAATAAATCTTTTGGCAACTTTGAATGTGACTTCTGCTGTCTCACTTTGACACTCGGGCCAGCTTCCCCGCATTCCTCTAAAGTCCATTATTTCTAAACGTTCCATTCAAGTCTCTGTAGTGTTTAGTTTTATTCTTACACTGAATAAACTGCAGACTATAATAACTGTAGATCACTGCTGCTGGTAAATGCAGCTGAAAATATATCCAAATATATAGAAATACTGGGACCATGTGAGCATGTGACCAGGTGAGACTGGTCACCGGGCGGCACGGTGGCTGAGTGGATAGCACTCTCGCCTCTCAGCAAGAAGGTCCTGGGTTCGAATCCCGGTTGGACCAGGGCCTTTCTGAGTGGAGTTTGCATGTTCTCCCCGTGTCTGCGTAGGTTTCCTCCGGGTGCTCCGGTTTCCCCTACCACTAAAAATATGTACAATAGGTCTGGCATGTGCCTCCTGTACTGGCCCCACTCCCAAAAATAACAATTGTAAATCGCTTTGAGACTCCGATGTGCAGTGAAAAGGCGGTATATAAATAAAGATTACTTACTACTACTTACTGGACCTTCAACTGTGCTTCATGTTAATGAGAGTCTTGCTTCATGGTGAGATTTGTCGCAGACCGTGTATTTTTTCCCTCTTGGATTATGGCCCACTCCAAACTAAAACTGAACCATGGGTCGATCTAACTTCAAGCAACAATAACATAAATGTATGAACTGAAAATGTTTGTACCTGAACATTATTTAATCAGTTTTATACACTGCTTTTTCAGACTCTCAAAGTCTCTTCACAACATTATCCTCTCTCTCCAAACACGGTGGTGATAAACTACTACTGTAGCCACAGCTGCCCTGGGGCACACTGACAGAAGCGAGGCAACCAGTCTGTGCCATCGGCCCCTCCCACCACCACCAACCATTCACACACACACCAGACTCATTCTAATGTGGGGGAAGTGTCTTGCCTAAGGACACAACCACAGTCTGTCACTTTACAGCCGCAGCCGCCCCACTGTGGCACCTGCTGTTCCCAGAGGTTAAGGCTATATCCACACGAAGACAAAACGCTTATAATTTCAGAAACTTTTTCTGTAAACACGGAGTTAGCTCAGTAAATGTGTGCGTCCATATGAATGTAGTCAATACGCCTGAAAACGCTGTGAAACTATGCCAGACCTGTTGGTGGCGCTGTGACGCAATGACTGGATCAAGCCCAAACTTCCGTGACGGGAACTGGGCATGCGCAGAATGTTGTAAACAGACAACATGGCGAGTGGGCGAGCTGGTACTACATTAGTATGGACGGACGATGAGGTTGAACTGTTGCTTCGGGTCACACTGGATTACAAAACCAACAAGCTACATTGTTGTTGTCATTATTTTCTGAGTGCGGCGCATGCTGCTTTAACAAGAGGCGGGGCGATGAAGCGTCTCAGATACATTGCGGAGAGGCAGTAACCACGGAGCGGCATATACGGAGTTTTGAAATCTTTCCACTCTGGGACCTAGTTTCAAAAATGTTCGTTTACACCCCCCCAAAACGCCGGCCTCGTATGGACGATACACTGGATTGATAAAGTATTTTTGCGTTTAGGCCTGAGCTTGACTTCGTGTGGACAGGGCCTAAGTGTCTTGCCCAAGGACACAACGACAGCAGACATCAGTGGGACCACAACCTTCAGGCTCAAAGGCCAATGCTCTACCAACGGAGATACTGTCGTACTGTACTATGTAGCCTATATATACAGTGGGGCAAAAAAGTATTTAGTCAGCCACCGATTGTGCAGGTTCTCCCACTTAGAATAAAGACAGAGGTCTTTAATGTTCATCATAGGTTCACTTCAACTGTGAGACAGAATGTGAAAATAAATCCAGGAATTCACATTGTAGGATTTTTAAAGAATGTATTTGTAAATTAAATCCAGAGGAAGTTTCTGCAGAAGGGTTTTGTGTTTTCAGTGCATAAGTTCAATGGTTTTGTTAAGTCTGAGATACAAGAATATACTATACAAGGATAAGTTGTTGTTGTTGTATAAGTTCTAATGTTCAGAGCTGCATTGGTGTCGATCCAAAGTCTTTACCAAAAGGCATCAGCCATTTTTCTATATCAACACACACTGCCCTGAAACAGTTGTGTGTTTTGTTGTCTCTGTAGACCATCTGTGCTCTGTGTTTGACCCATCCTCCGTAAACACTTAGTTGGACCTCCAAAATAGAAATGTACACATTTGTGGTTTTGAAACAGTCGGTTTGTGCCTCGACAGCAGCAGCTCGGGCAGAAATGCAGTGAATGTTTACGACAGATTCATCACATATTGTTTCTTGACATGGGTCCAAGTGCTCTCTCTTGTGTTTGGGGCCGTGGGCTCTGGCTTTGACCATCTGCCTCGGCACTGTCCACACCGAGACGAGAACTGTCCGGCCAGAAAGAGCGAGGGAGGGCCGTGGGCGGAGAAGGACACTCAAATATGCCGCTGATAATTATAGCCAAACGCCTCAAACACAAAACAGCATCTCAGATCTTCAGCTCATCCGATATTTTTAAACATCCCGATGGAAGGGACAAAGGCGTCAGTATTTTTGTAAAAACAGTGGCTTCTGCAGCACATTTTGATCATCCAGTCTGCCTTTCACGTTTGTGTTAGCGCTGTAATTAGCAGATTGTTTTGATGGTTGGTATTTTGGCTGATTATTCTTTTGATTCATCGATTAGTTGGGTTAGATTGTAAAAAGTATGATTATGGGATTTTTATACAATTGACCCAAATAATCTCAAGTGCTGTCCCTGGAGAACGTCTTCATAGGTGTTACACATTAGTTTGTTTCATTACAAATAGTCTGTGTTTGTCACATAATGAAGTCATTGTAAGAGAAAAGGAATAAATGAAGTGATGAACATGGAGCAGAGGACTCACTCCTTCATCCAGCAGAGCAGTGGCTTTAAAAGATCAACACAGAAGAACCTGAATGAACCCTAACCCTCAGGTCGCTGACATCAGCGGCTTTTTACCGCTTCATGAACATTGATAAAATTAAAAACATAGTGTCTGTTTGTCCTTCAATTGTTGCTGCTTTTAGTCACCTGTGTTTTTATGACTGAAAGATTTTAAAATTGTTTTTCGGCTGTAACATAAACCTGCCGTGGGCTTCTGTTGGTAAATCTGTGATATTTACTCAGACACATGTTGATTCATATGTCCCATCGTCCCACTCCAATAAGACAATAATATATACATAAAATACATACACTTGTTACAGCCCTAATTTACAATTCACAATGTGTGGTTATTGTGAATATTGTGGTTATTGTGAATATTATGGTTATTGTGAATATTATGGTTATTGTGATGTCACATATCTGCAGGTTTTCCACTTTTTTCCAAACCATTCCGTCACTGCACCTCATTTTAATTGTCTTTGAAGAGATCTTGCTGCTAAATATAGATAAATAAAAATAGCACTGAACGTCTAAAGGTCTTATAATATAATAATATATGATGAAATAAAATAATATGAACTTTTCTATAATTCATTTCAATGCAACATTTATTTAAGTCCATTCAATACAATTCAGAACAAGCTTCTCTATGAATCTTTGAAGGCAAAACATGTTCTCAGCGCCTTAACAATGAGAAAAGAATGCACACAGCAGTCACGATGGGAGCTCTCCTACTGTTTGGCAGAGCTGTAACCATCCCATCCCATAATGCACTGCACCATGGCTTATGTAAGAGACTGTTCTGGTCTATTCTTAGCTCTACCTCGCTGAGAAAGAAACGGTGCTGGTGCCGAGAGTCAGAGCGATGTGATGAGGCGGGACCCAGGGAGCTGCAAACAGTGGGAAACTCAGCGTCCGTACTGGCACCACCTGGAAATGCCCAAATTAGGCTTCAGGAAGTAGTGGCGTACAAAAAGGGCAGTATGTACCGCATTTAGAGGTACACAAGTATGGAAATGACACTTTTAAAACTGTTGTGTTGTTTGGATTGTAAAGAGTGGCCAAAAAGAGAAAAGTGGATTTTTAGGTTATCTCCCTTTAATATAATCCTGGAAAGAACAAAACAGACAGTTATTAAAAAAAAATGGGACTGATCAAAAAACAGTGTTGGGACAGAAAAACGAATAATCAATAACAATGTTTTCTAAATGATTCGTAACGAGGAGGAAATACAGTAATGGCTCAACTTTGGCGTTTGTTTTTCTTTCCTTGGATTTTCCAGGAAGATGTCCCTCGACATGTTCTTGTTACTCTGCTCATTCCAAAATGTTTGTTCAGTTCTGGACTGACATTTTCTATGAAAGTGTATATTTACAACTTAAAGAGCCAGTGAGTCAGCGTCAAAGTGCATTTCCTTCTACTTCTCCGTCGCTTGCACCAAATAATGGTACTTTTCAAATGCCAAGTGCACATTTGGACAAAACTCCTCTGAAATTGTTCAAAGCAGTTGTTCCGCTGATAAAAGTAGTTTCAAGATGTTTTCTTTGAAGTATTTGTGTTTTCTGGATCAAGGACGAGAGGGTGAGGTCGGACAAGATCAGGACATTATTAACATTGTTTGTTCCACAACAGGCAGAGAGCTGGGCTGGGCTGGTCTAGGCTGGTCTAGGCTGGTCTAGACTGGGCTGGGCTGGACTGGACTGGACTGGGCTGGGCTGGGCTGGTCTGGTGTGGGCTGGGCTGGTCTGGTGTGGGCTGGTCTAGGCTGGTCTAGGCTGGGCTGGACTGGACTGGGCTGGTCTGATCTGGTCTAGGCTGGGCTGGTCTGGTCTGGTCTAGGCTGGGTTGGTCTAGGCTGGTCTGGGCTGCTCTGGTCTGGTCTGGGCTCGGACCCCGGGGCGATGGCTGCTTCTGCTGGTCCTGTTTATTGTCAGACTGATCTCCTGCAGGTCCATGCTCCTCTGTCAGACTTTATGTGGACTTTGTGTTCGTTCCATGGATTTAAAGAACATAACAATGCATTATTTTAAAGTGATTCATTTTAGAGTCCGAATAACAGACAGACACACACACACACACACACACACACACACACACAGACACACATAGACACACACACACACACAGACACACACACACAGACACACACACACAGACACACACACACACAGACACACACAGACACACACACAGACACACACACACACAGACACACACACACACACACAGACACACACAGACACACACACACACACACACACAGACACACACAGACACACACACAGACACACACACACACACACACACACAGACACTAGGGCTGCGATGTTCGATATGTGTGTTTCTTGCGATAACGATATTATTGCGATATTTTTGTCTTTCACCTAAAATTGCTTCTGCTTTGAAACACAAGACAAATAACAACATTAATAACATCCAAATGCATTTATTTATATAATTGTTTGTTTGTTTGTTGTTCTTGTTAAATGTGGATGTGTCTGTTTTGTTGTCTTTAATAAAGGAAAAAAACAAAATAAATAATTAAAAATTATTGCGCATCTTGTCTATACGGATATTGCATGTACCAATATCGCAATAATTATTATTTTTTGATATCTTGTTGAGTCCTAAAAGACACACACATACACACAGAGACACACACACACACACACACACAAAGACAGACAGACACACAGTCACACACAGACACACACACACACACATGATCAGATGACTGTAAAGGGGCGTTCACACCGGACTTAACTTCGGCGTCAAAAGCGTCAGGTTTCCATTGAAAGTGAATGGTGAAGCGCGTCAGGTGAAGCCGAGAGCCCCGGCGTCACTTGACGCGCGTCAAAAGCTTCAAGAGTCGCGCGTACTACGCGCTCACTTGAAGCTTTTGACGCGCGAAACGCTCGCGTATCACAACAATCCCTCTGACGCCGAAGCTGAGCAAAGCTGAGCTTTTGAAGCTTTGACGCGGGCTTCAACCAATCAGGAGACGAGCAGCAGCAGAGGGTCTGTCTCTGTCATGAAGAGAAGTCATGTATCTGCTGCTGCTGTTTTATTGTTATTAGTAATATTATTTGTATGAGTAGTAAAATTCTGAGTAACAAAAATCATTGTACACATGCTGTGTAGTAAACGTAGTTTATTTAATATAAGAACAGGCTGACGATGGGTCTGGCTCAGAGCAAGGCAGCTCCGGGCGGGCGAGAGCCGGGGAGAGGCAGGGAGAGGCGAGTGAGAGCCGGGGAGAGGCAGGGAGAGCCGGGGAGAGGCAGGGAGAGGCGAGAGCGAGGCGGGGAGAGGCAGGGAGAGGCAGGGAGAGGCAGGGAGAGGCGAGCGAGAGCCGGGGAGAGGCGAGCCAGAGCCGGGGAGAGGCAGGGAGAGGCGAACGAGAGCCGGGGAGAGGCGAGCGAGAGCCGCGGAGAGGCAGGGAGTGGCGAGCGAGAGCCGGGGAGAGCCGGGGAGAGGCAGGGAGAGGCGAGCTCCGGGGTTTGAGAACTCAGACTGGGCGAGTGACATGCGGAAGTACCGCTGAAAGCGAAACTCCTCCGTACGCAGCTCCTGGAGTAAATGACGGAACTCTGCAAACACTGCAGCCTCTCAAGTCTGTGGTGAACCCAGAACATGTTTTGTTGAAGCCCTACAACAACGTTATTTTGCTTTATATAACAAATAAAGGCTCGCTGCTCATTGAAAAATCCACCGCTGTCCTGACTACAGGCAACAGAGAAGCTCCTCCCACAGGCAACAGAGAAGCTCCTCCCACCGGCGTCAGGCGCGTCACTCGCGTCAAAAGCTTCAAGCACCAAAATGACAAAACTATCCCGGCGTCAGTTGAAGCGCGTCAAAAGCTTTTTGAAGCTTTTGGTCTGAACGCGCCTTAAGTCTCCTTCACCGTTCACACGTGTGTGTCTGTGTCTCCTTCACCGTTCACACGTGTGTGTCTGTGTCTCCTTCACCGTTCACACGTGTGTGTCTGTGTCTCCTTCACCGTTCACACGTGTGTGTCTGTGTCTCCTTCACCGTTCACACGTGTGTGTCTGTGTCTCCTTCACCGTTCACACGTGTGTGTCTGTGTCTCCTTCACCGTTCACACGTGTGTGTCTGTGTCTCCTTCACCGTTCACACGTGTGTGTCTGTGTCTCCTTCACCGTTCACACGTGTGTGTCTGTGTCTCCTTCACCGTTCACACGTGTGTGTCTGTGTCTCCTTCACCGTTCACACGTGTGTGTCTGTGTCTTCTTCACCGTTCACACGTGTGTGTCTGTGTCTCCTTCACCGTTCACACGTGTGTGTCTGTGTCTCCTTCACCGTTCACACGTGTGTGTCTGTGTCTCCTTCACCGTTCACACGTGTGTGTCTGTGTCTCCTTCACCGTTCACACGTGTGTGTCTGTGTCTCCTTCACCGTTCACACGTGTGTGTCTGTGTCTCCTTCACCGTTCACACGTGTGTGTCTGTGTCTCCTTCACCGTTCACACGTGTGTGTCTGTGTCTCCTTCACCGTTCACACGTGTGTGTCTGTGTCTCCTTCACCGTTCACACGTGTGTGTCTGTGTCTCCTTCACCGTTCACACGTGTGTGTCTGTGTCTCCTTCACCGTTCACACGTGTGTGTCTGTGTCTCCTTCACCGTTCACACGTGTGTGTCTGTGTCTCCTTCACCGTTCACACGTGTGTGTCTGTGTCTCCTTCACCGTTCACACGTGTGTGTCTGTGTTTCTAGATCTCAGTGACACTTTGCTGGAGGTGGTGGGTCTGGAGGGGGCCATCGAGATGGGCCAGATCTACACCGGACTGAAGAGTGCGGGACGGAGACTGGCCCAATGCTCCAGCGTCACCCTCAGGTCTGTGCCTCCTACCCTTCCCTACCCTACCATAACCATAACCCTGCCATAACCATAACCCTGCCATAACCATAACCCTACCATAACCATAGCCCTGCCATAACCATAACCCTGCCATAACCATAACCCTGCCATAACCCTACCATAACCATAACCCTACCATAACCATAACCCTGCCATAACCATAACCCTAACATAACCCTACCATAACCATAACCCTGCCATAACCATAACCCTAACATAACCCTACCATAACTAAAACCCTACCATAACCATAACCATAACCCTGCCATAACCCTACCATAACCCTGCCATAACCCTACCATAACCCTGCCATAACCCTACCATAACCATAACCCTGCCATAACCATAACCCTGCCATAACCATAACCCTGCCATAACCCTACCATAACCATAACCCTACCATAACCATAACCCTGCCATAACCATAACCCTAACATAACCCTACCATAACCATAACCCTGCCATAACCATAACCCTAACATAACCCTACCATAACTAAAACCCTACCATAACCATAACCATAACCCTGCCATAACCCTACCATAACCCTGCCATAACCCTACCATAACCATAACCCTGCCATAACCATAACCCTGCCATAACCATAACCCTGCCATAACCATAACCCTGAAATATACATGACAGAGAAAAGGGAAAGCTAATGCTGAATTATAGATAACAATAACATACAGCCTGGTGAACTGTCCCGGCACATACATGTCACATACATGTCACATACATGTCACATACATGTCACATACATGTCACATACATGTCACATACATGTCACATACATGTCACATACATGTCACATACATGTCACATACATGTCACATACACCGCACATGGACCATGTTGACGTCTGTTGTTTGCTTGAATGTTAGAGGAGGAGTTTGTGAATGATTGAGCTGTGAGTGGGACCAGGCCCCACAGGGACAGGGACCAGGGGGACAGGGACCAGAGGGACCAGAGGGACAGGGACCAGGCCCCACAGGGACAGGTGGAAGACACTCAGAACATCACAAACTGCATCTTATTGTTCTTCTAAATGTTGTAAAAATCATCTGCTGCTGAGAAAATACAGACAAAATAATAGGTCTAAACCATAGACAGTATATATTAACGGACGTAGTCAGACCTATCTCCACCGTTCTAACTAATGGGCCAAAAATAGGGCTTTCATGGAGAAAAAATGCATCTCTGCATGCGTCAGCTGCACGAGCCCAATTCATTTAACGACAGACTTCAAAAGTCCACAGCGACTAAACTAGACTGGTCCAGAACACTCAGCATTGACACACATGTGGAACGGAGCTTTGGGCCAAGAGACAACTTTTGGTCCATCCTGTAAAGACGTTTTCGAGAGGTCAGAAGATGCTATATGTTAGCATTGGCTAATTCTTATTCCGGGTGCACCCCCACAGGCCCTGGGTGGTACTGCAGCATGTCAGCGCACCTCATTTTGGCCACTTTTGAGCTGGGACCCGCCCCCAATCGTTTAGACAGATTATCAGGACCAGTATCGACCAATATTGGATCTATCCAATGATTAGTCCTTAGTCCAGTCTTCTGGTTCAAACAACAATGATAGAACAAAACACAGACATGCATTTGTCTACTGCACACACACACACCCACACACACACACACACACACACACAGCTGTAACACACTGTGCATGTGCCAACACAAATCATTCATGAGTTTAGTTTGTTTTATTTCAGTCTAAAGTAACTTTAAAACAGGACACTTCAGTTGGACAGAATCAGATACAAGAGCGGCCCGTGTCCATCATGCTCTACATCCATACAGTGGGGATTATTGGTTTTGTGTGTTACTTTTCCACTATTTGTCTATATTTTCACTATAACTGTAAATGAATATCAGCTCCACATAAATGTTTTCCTCCTGGACCAGAGTTTACATGATTTGAAATGGGATTCTTTTCATTACCTCTATGCCCTGGGCTCAGATTTAAATTTTCCCAGACTCTATCTCCCTCTACGATGGAGGACACACAACACTTTGACAACACACACAACACTTTGAAAACACACACAACACTTTGAAAACACACAAAACACTTTCCAAGAACTGAGCTGAAGAGTATTTAGTCATCACTGTCCCGTACACTGTGGCTTTAGCTGCAGGAGAGGACACAGGCCCTAAACTGACTTGTGTGTGTTGTGTGTGTCTGTGTGTGTGTGTGTGTGTGTGTCTGTGTGTGTGTGTGTGTGTGTGTCTGTGTGTGTGTGTGTGTGTGTGTCTGTGTGTGTGTGTGTGTGTGTGTGTGTGTGTGCGTGCGTGTGTGTGTGTGTGTGTGTGTGTGTGTCTGTGTGTGTGTGTGTGTGTGTGTGTGTGCATGCGTGCGTGCGTGTGTGTGTGTGTGTGTGTGTGTGCGTGTCTGTGTGTATGTGTGTGTGTGTTTAAACAGTGGGGGCCTGTCTGGGAATGAGTCTGAAAGAAACAAAGGAGGCAGTGTGTGACCCTGTGATGGGATAGTGCGAACGGCCTGAGGTGTGTGATCTAACCTCTGTCTCTCTCCTTGGTCTCTCTCTCGCTCTGGTCTCTCTCTGGTCCCTCTCTGGTCCCTCTCTCTGGTCTCTCTCTCTCTGGTCTCTCTCTGGTCTCTCTCTCTCTGGTCTCTCTCTGGTCCCTCTCTCTGGTCTCTCTCTCAGGACGTCCCGGCGACTCCCCATGCAGATTGATGGTGAGCCCTGGATGCAGCCCCCGTGTACAGTAAGTAGCTCATGATGTTTGCTCATGAAAATAGTTCATAAACTCATTGCAGTTAATAATCAGGGTGCAAAGAAACTTTAAAAAAATGCATCTTCCTGAGAAGACATTATTGTGTATTTCGTTGTGTTGCATGGTTCCTCTCAACGTGGAGGAGCAGCGGCTCTACTCCGAGCTCCTCCCGTGTGACTGAGCTCCTCACCTTATCTCTAAGGGAGCAGCCACTCTGCGGAGGAAGCTCATTTCGACCGCTTGTATCCGCGATCTCGTTCTTTCGGTCATTACCCAAAGCTCATGACCATAGGTGAGGGAGGGGACGAAGATTGACCGATAAATCGAGAGCTTTGCCTTTCGGCTCAGCTCCCTCTTCACCACGACGGTCCGATACAGCTCTGACTGCAGACGCTGCTACCTCTTTACCACGACGGTCCGATACAGCGACCGCATCACTGCGCACGCTGCACCGATCCACCTGTCAATCTCACGCTCCATCCTTCCCTCACTCGTGAACAAGACCCCGAGATACTTGAACTCCTCCACTTGAGGAAGGACCTCTCCACCCACCTGCAGAGGGCAAGGCACCTTTTTCAGGTCGAGCACCATGGCCTCGGATTTGGAGGTGCTGATTCTCATCCCAGCCGCTTCACACTCGGCTGCAAACCGTCCCAGTGCATGCTGCAGGTCCTGGTTTGTTGGAGCCAACAGGACAACATCGTCTGCAAACAGCAGAGATGAAATCCTGTGGTCCCCGAACCGGACCCCCTCCGACCCCTGGCTGCACCTAGAAATTCTGTCCATAAATACAGTGAACATTACCAGTGACAAAGGGCAGCCCTGGCGGAGGCCAACACCGGGAACACGTCTGACTTACTGCTGATAAACACAGCTCTGGCTCCGGTCATACAGGGACCGGACGGCCCTCAGCAGAGGACCCCGTACTCCCGGAGAACCCCCCGAAGGACACCCCGGGGAACACGGTCAAATGCCTTCTCCAAATCCACAAACCACATGTGGACAGGTTGGGCGAACTCCCATGAACCCTCGAGTATCCGATGGAGAGTATAGAGCTGGTCCAGTGTTCCGCGACCGGGACAAAAACCACACTGCTCCTCCTGAATCCGAGATTCGACCATCGGCCGTAGCCTCCTCTCCAGTACCTTGGAGTAGACCTTACCGGGGAGGCTGAGGAGTGTGATTCCCCCGATAATTGGAACACACACTCCGGTCCCCCTTCTTGTAGAGAGGGACCACCACCCAGTCTGCCACTCCATTGGCACTGCCCCCAAGACAGTCCTACAGCATCCAGAGACTTTAGAGTCAGGACGGATCTCATCCACTCCTGGCGCCTTGCCACCAAGGAGGCTGCCAACCACCTTGGTGACCTCTGCCAGGGAGATGGAAGTATCTGCCCCAACATCCTCAATCTCTGCCTCTGTAACAGTGGACGTGACGGGGGGATTGAGGAGAACCTCCAAGTATTCCTTCCATCGCCCGACAATATCCCCAGTCGAGGTCAGCAGCTCTCCACCCGCACCGTACATGGTGTTGGCAAAGAACTTCTTCCCCCTCCTGAGGCGCCGGACGGTTTGCCAGAATCTCTTTGAGGCCGACCGATAGTCATGCTCCATGGACTCTCCAAACTCCTCCCAGTCCCGGGTTTTTTGCCTCTGTAACAGCCCGGGCAGCGGCACGCTTGGCCTGACGGTACTGGACAGCTGCCTCAGGAGTCCCATGAACCATCATTGCTCGATAGGACTCCTTCTTCAGCCTGACGGCATCCCTTACTGCCGGTGTCCACCACCGGGTTCGGGGGTTGCCGCCGGGACCAGCACCAGAGACCTTGCGACCACAGCTACGAGCCGCCGCATCGGCGATAGAGGAAGAGAACATGGTCCACTCGGACTCAATGTCCCCCTCCTCCACCGGGACCTGGGAGAAACTCTCCCGGAGGTGTGAGTTGAAAGTCCGTCTGACAGGGGGCTCAGCGAGACGTTCCCAGCAGACCCTCACTACACGCTTGGGTCTGCCAGGTCCGACCGGCTTCCTCCCCTGCCAGCGGATCCAACTCACGACCAGGTGGTGATCGGTGACAGCTCCGCCCCTCTCTTTAGCTCCTCCCCTCTCTTCACCCGAGTGTCCGAGACACGCGGTCGAAGGTCAGATGATACAACAACAAAGTCGATCATCGACCTCCGGCCTAGGGTGTCCTGGTGCCACGTGCACTGGTGTCACCCTTGTGCTCGAACATGGTGTTCGTGATGGACAAACTGTGACTGGCACAGAAGTCCAACAACTGAACACCGCTCGGGTTCAGATCAGGGGGACGTTCTTCCCTATCACCCCTCTCCAAGTGTCACTGGCATTTCCCACATGGGCGTTGAAGTCCCCCAGGAGAATAACGGAGTCCCCGGGCGGTGCACTGTCCAGTACCCCTCCCAAGGACTCCAAGAAGGCCGAGTACTCTGCACTGCTGTTAGGCCCGTAGGCACAACAAAATTGAGAGACTTGTCCCCCACCCGAAGGCGGTAGGGACGCGACCCTCTCAATTACCGGGGAGAACTCCTACACGTGGCAACTGAGATGGGGGGCAATGAGAATGGCCACCCCAGAGGCCGACTATCTCTAGTCTGTATCTCTCAACCTCCCCCACGAGCTCGGACTCCTTCGCCCCCAGTGAGGTGACGTTCCACGTCCCAGATGCTGTCACCCAAGACCTGTCTGCCATGAAGCCCCAGACAGCATAGCTCCCAGGATCATCCGAGTACTCAAACTCCCCCACCACGTTAAGATGGCAGTCCATGTTTTTTTTTTTTCACATCTCAGTATCGCAGTTCTTTGTATTCATTTCTGTTTCTTGTATCAATCTTCCAGATCCGAATCACGCACAAGAACCAAGTTCCCATGCTCCTGGGCCCGCCTCAGAAGACCCCATTTTTCTTCTTCAAAAAGCGCAATCGGAGCCGTGACTAAATCTTTATATACTGAAAATACAATATGCATACACAGACACAGACACACACAGACACACACACACACACACACACACACACACACACACACACACACACACACACACACACACACACACACACACATATATATATTTTGCATATTGGCAGCTCCAAAAGATGAGGTATGTCAAAAAATACCAAAAATCAGGACACTCAAGACTTTTGGACCAAACCCTGTGGAATTCTCCTGTTTTCCTTCATGCAGTTTTTGGACAAACTGCACCAGTACAGCACTGCCGGACCATCACACTTTACTGGTGCACGACTGGTACAGACTCCATGGCACTGCCGGACCATCACACTTTACTGGTCCGGGACTGGTACAGACTCCATGGTTGAGAACGAACAATCAGAAAATGCACCGACGTGGAAGATGAAAGAGAAAGCCTGAAGCTGAGAAGCTTTGACTGAACCACTTCTTTATAAATAATACAAATGGTTGTAAGAGGTTTCACAGCAGGACCCGCACACATACACACACAAACACACACACACACACACGTACACATACACAAATATACACACACACTTACACGCACACACACATACACACGCGTACACACACATACACACACACATACACACACACACATATATACATACACACACGTACACTTACATATCAGAATCAGAATCAGAATCAGAATCAGAATCATTTTTATTGCCAACGTAAGTAACGGGAGGTCACAGACTTGGAAATTGCTTTGGCTCAGTGCAACAGTCAAAAAGAGATAATAAAAATAAGAATAAAAAACACTTCTAAAGAATAAATTTAAATTTAAAATAGAGTTACAGTTACTATTTACAATATACAAGTGCACATGGTGCACACAATGTAAGGTGACAGCAGTACAGTGAAGTAAAGTGACGTATGATGGGCAGTAAAGTGACTTTATAAAGGGCGGGGGGACAGGTTAAGAAGTGTTCAAGAGTCCAACAGCAGAGGGGAAGAAACTGTTCTTGTGGCGGGAGGTTCTAGTCCTGATGGACCGCAGCCTCCTGCCTGAGGGGAGTGGTTGGAATAGTCCATGTGCAGGGTGAGAGGGGTCGGCTGTGATACGACCCAGCCCGGCCTCGAGCTCGGGCGACGTACAGGTCCTGCAGCGATGGAAGGCTGCGGCCGATCACTTCCTCTGCAGAGCGCACAATGCGCTGTAGTCTCTGTTTGTCCCTGACTGTGGCTCCAGCGAACCACACGGTGATGGAGGAGGTGAGGATGGACTCGATGATGGCCGTGTAGAACTGCACCAACATCTGTGCAGGCAGCTTGGCTTTCCTGAGCTGCCGCAGGAAGTACATCCTCTGCTGGGCCTTCTTGATGAGGGAGCTGATGGTCGGCTCCCACTTGAGGTCCTGGGTGATGGTGGTGCCCAGGAAACGGAAGGACTCCACAGAGGTGATGGGGGAGTCCATCACGGAGGGTGGGGGCGGGGGGACAGTGCTCTTCCTGAAGTCCACAATCATCTCCACTGTCTTCTGGGCGTTCAGCTCCAGGTTGTTACCACTGCACCAGGACACCAGCCGGTCCACCTCCCTCCTGTAGGCGGACTCATCGTTGTTGGAGATGAGTCCAATGAGGGTGGTGTCGTCCGCGAACTTGATCAGCTTCACGGAGTCGTGGCTGGAGGTGCAGTGGTTGGTGTACAGGGAGAAGAGCAGGGGAGAAAGAACACAGCCCTGTGGGGCTCCTGTATTTATAATCCAAGGGTCCGAGACATTCTTCCCCAGACGCACTCGCTGCTTCCTGTCCGTCAGGAAGTCAGTGATCCACCTGCAGGTGGAATCGGGCACGTTGAGCTGGGAGAGCTTGTCCTGGAGCAGGGATGGCAGGATTGTGTTGAAGGCAGAGCTGAAGTCCACGAACAGGACCCTGGCGTAGGTCCCCGGGGAGTCCAGGTGCTGTAGGATGTGGTGGAGGGCCAGGTTAATGGCGTCGTCTACAGATCTGTTGGCTCTGTAGGCGAACTGCAGGGGGTCCAGGAGGGGGGAGGTGAGGGACTTGAGATGGGAGAGAACCAGGCGTTCAAATGACTTCATGACGACAGACGTAAGAGTGCTACAGGTCTGTAGTCATTGAGTCCTGTGATCCTGGGCTTCTTCGGGACGGGGACAATGATGGAGGATTTGAAGCAGGCCGGGACATGGCAGGACTGCAGAGAGGAGTTGAAAATGTCCGTGAACACAGGAGTAAGCTCACTGGCGCAGTGTCTCAGAGTGGCCGGAGACACGTGGTCCGGGCCAGGAGCTTTGCGGGGGTGCAGCCTCAGGAAGAGTTGTTTAATCTCTTTAGCGGCTATTGTTAGGCTGGGGGCAGGGCTGATGGGTGGGTCGTTAGAGTAGTTAGTTACACACACACACACACACACACACACACAGAGCAACATGCCTAATATATTATTGAGTTATTTGTGGCTGGACAGCGGTGGGATGATCTCGGTCAGTGCACACAGGAGCCTCTGAGCAGCACTGGCCTAAAAACCTTTAACAACAAAGATCAGAACATACACAACTGCAGCGTACGGACTATAGGGACGTTTATCATTTCTTCTGCTCTGACTTTATGCACATAGGGACGTTTATCATCTCTTCTGCTCTGACTTTATGCACATAAGTGGTCCCAGCGTCTGACCCGCTCGGTTCACTGTCATACGAAGCCTGGGGTTTATTTACCGTCGCATTGACAGACCTAAAATGTGCTCCTGTGAAATCCTAATTTCACTGTCAAACTGTTTCCTCTGCACCTTCGACATTATTCTAACATTATTCCTTTAAGTACCAAAAATACAAAGACAAAGAAGGACTTGTATCTACGACAACATGTGTTGATCCAAAACAACGAGGCGACAGGTTTGTGTTTATAATAACGAATGTATCACATGATTATAGTCATGGCCAAAATACTGCATATGATAAAGAATAATATATGTATATATTCTGGAGAGTAGGTGTAGCTCACATATACTGTACACTTGAATGTGTTTATCATTGTCAAAGTGAAAGTGTTAGTTTAGACGGTTTGGATCAGTATTCTTACTTTGAGCTGCTGCAGTCACTCTCTGGACATTTCCACTCAAAGAGGATCTAAAAACTGTGATTCTGTAGAAGTCTGTGTTTTTATTGTGCTTCACCAACGCTCTTATAGTGCCACAAAACTGTGACGGTCGGAACTCTGAGTCCGGCCAGTTTACTTTTTAAATAATCTTTTACCCATTTCTTTTAAATCATTTATTTTAGAGACCAACCAATTCAGTTTCTTGTTGGAACACGTTTTTATGGCTTAAACAATTCATTCACTTTTACTTGTGATTCAAACATGGTTCATTTCTTCATTTATCTTCTGCAGATGTGAAAGTTCGCATCCATCCCTCACAACACAGAAGGCGACCAATGTTCTTTACTGTAAAATCCATGTCCATAAAACAAGACACCCGCTAGAATCGATAAAGAATAAAGTCTGTGATGTCGCATTTGCTTCTGTAGCCTTAGTGTGTACACATCTGTGGATTGTCTGATGGCAGAGTATTCAGGGCTTTCTTCTGCCACATTTCTAACATTATTATACTCTGGACATCCTAGAATCGTCAGAGAGTGGCTGCAGCGTGAGGTCTTTGAGCCACGGCTGAGGCCCCCTTTAACCACACGGGCACGGCCTCTTCACCCAGGCCCCTCAAAAACATTACCACTTTTCAGTATTTACTAAACAACATCAATATTTCTGCTCAAAATGGACGTTAGCTGCAGTTTAAGCTCTGAAAGCGTCGCTGTGTGAGTGGATCCTTCCGGAGCCTGGGTGTGAGCTGTGCCCGTGGAGAAGAGTGCATGTTTACAGTCATAAAGGAAGGAATAGTTACCAAGTGTATATATTTGTTAATAATGTTTTATCTCCATCACCGCATGCCTGCAGAAACTGTGAACAAAACGGAGCATCCAAACGGCCATTACTTTGCTTTGCTGAATATTTATTATCTGTTCTGATCGGTTGTGATTCTATTCTTTTTCTCAGCATGTTCATAATCATGTATAAAAGACGAGGATCATAATAAAGTGGTAGAAAAGTGGCCCCGGCTGTGTGCTTTGTCACGTGTGTGTTTTACTGCGGGCAATAAGGAGAGGGCTCGTCCCACCTCTGCTCTGTGGCTTTGAACTGACAGATGGTCCTGGAGTCTGTGGAGATGGTCCTAGAGTCTGTGGAGATGGTCTTAGAGTCTGTGGAGATGGTCCTGGAGTCTGTGGAGATGGTCCTAGAGTCTGTGGAGATGGTCCTGGAGTCTGTGGAGATGGTCCTGGAGTCTTTGGAGATGGTCCTGGAGTCTGTGGAGATGGTCCTAGAGTCTGTGGAGATGGTCTTAGAGTCTGTGGAGATGGTCCTGGAGTCTGTGGAGATGGTCCTGGAGTCTGTGGAGATGGTCCTGGAGTCTGTGGAGATGGTCCTAGAGTCTGTGGAGATGGTCCTGGAGTCTGTGGAGATGGTCCTAGAGTCTGTGGAGATGGTCCTGGAGTCTGTGGAGATGGTCTTAGAGTCTGTGGAGATGGTCCTGGAGTCTGTGGAGATGGTCCTGGAGTCTGTGGAGATGGTCCTGGAGTCTGTGGAGATGGTCCTAGAGTCTGTGGAGATGGTCCTGGAGTCTGTGGAGATGGTCCTGGAGTCTGTGGAGATGGTCTTAGAGTCTGTGGAGATGGTCCTGGAGTCTGTGGAGATGGTCCTGGAGTCTGTGGAGATGGTCCTAGAGTCTGTGGAGATGGTCTTAGAGTCTGTGGAGATGGTCCTGGAGTCTGTGGAGATGGTCTTAGAGTCTGTGGAGATGGTCCTTGAGTCTGTGGAGATGGTCTTAGAGTCTGTGGAGATGGTCCTGGAGTCTGTGGAGATGGTCCTGGAGTCTGTGGGGATGGTCCTAGAGTCTGTGGAGATGGTCCTGGAGTCTGTGGAGATGGTCCTAGAGTCTGTGGAGATGGTCCTGGAGTCTGTGGAGATGGTCCTGGAGTCTGTGGAGATGGTCCTAGAGTCTGTGGAGATGGTCCTAGAGTCTGTGGAGATGGTCCTGGAGTCTTTGGAGATGGTCCTGGAGTCTGTGGAGATGGTCCTGGAGTCTGTGGAGATGGTCCTAGAGTCTGTGGAGATGGTCCTGGAGTCTGTGGAGATGGTCCTAGAGTCTGTGGAGATGGTCCTGGAGTCTGTGGAGATGGTCCTAGAGTCTGTGGAGATGGTCCTGGAGTCTGTGGAGATGGTCTTAGAGTCTGTGGAGATGGTCCTGGAGTCTGTGGAGATGGTCCTGGAGTCTGTGGAGATGGTCCTGGAGTCTGTGGAGATGGTCCTAGAGTCTGTGGAGATGGTCCTGGAGTCTGTGGAGATGGTCCTGGAGTCTGTGGAGATGGTCCTGGAGTCTGTGGAGAGGTCCTGGAGTCTGTGGAGATGGTCTTAGAGTCTGTGGAGATGGTCCTGGAGTCTGTGGAGATGGTCCTGGAGTCTGTGGAGATGGTCCTGGAGTCTGTGGAGATGGTCCTGGAGTCTGTGGAGATGGTCCTAGAGTCTGTGGAGATGGTCCTGGAGTCTGTGGAGATGGTCCTAGAGTCTGTGGAGATGGTCCTGGAGTCTGTGGAGATGGTCCTAGAGTCTGTGGAGATGGTCCTGGAGTCTGTGGAGATGGTCCTAGAGCCTGTGGAGATGGTCCTGGAGTCTGTGGAGATGGTCCTGGAGTCTGTGGAGATGGTCCTGGAGTCTGTGGAGATGGTCCTGGAGTCTGTGGAGATGGTCTTAGAGTCTGTGGAGATGGTCCTGGAGTCTGTGGAGATGGTCCTGGAGTCTGTGGAGATGGTCCTGGAGTCTGTGGAGATGGTCCTGGAGTCTGTGGAGATGGTCCTGGAGTCTGTGGAGATGGTCCTGGAGTCTGTGGAGATGGTCCTGGAGTCTGTGGAGATGGTCTTAGAGTCTGTGGAGATGGTCCTGGAGTCTGTGGAGATCAGGAAAAGAACGCCACGTTTGGCTCTTCACGCTTTTCTACGTTTGAGGTTTTTTATTTATCAACAAAAACTAAACTATTCCTGAAATTAGTCAGTTTAAAGTAAGTAAGTAAGTAATGTTTTGTTTTTATGTAGTGCCTTTCTCAGACCAGAGTCAAAGCGGTTCACAATTGTTACATTAGTCTGTCACTCCACACAGAGATGGGAGGGGCCAGTGTAGGAGGCACAGACCTATTGTACATGTTTTTATTGGTAGGGGAAACTGGAGCAGCTGGAGGAAACCTTTGCAGACACGGGGAGAACATGCAAACTCCACTCAGAATCACATCGTTGTATCAATAACAGAGTTTTCAGACACCTATTGGTCTGGTTCACTTTAACTGGGCCAACTCTGGTTCACCTTAATTGGACTAACGCTAGTCCACTTTAACTGGGCCAACTATGGTCCACTTGGGCCAACTCTAGTTCACTTTAACTGGATCAACTCTGGTTCTCTTTAACTGGGCCAACTATGGTTCACTTTAACTGGGCCAACTCTGGTTCACTTTAACTGGATCAACTCTGGTTCCCTTTAAAGCAGCAGTAAGCGATTTGGTCGTTTCCGGCAGTTTCTTCTGCCTGAGCGAATTATTAGCCCCGCCCCCGTCTCCTCGTCACACCACATGAACGCGCATCGTGTTGGTGATGGCAGCAGCATGTTCATCTCCGTCAGGTCTACTCGTAAGTATATTAACAACAAACTCTGGGAGTGAAATATTAGCATAGAATAGCTCAGTTGTAACCTAGCTATAACACTGGAAGCAGCTTGGTGTTAGCTAGGATAGCATCACTAAGAAAGAGATAAAAACAATCCAGTCTTTTATAGAATAATACTGCTTTTATAGTTGGTACACTGATAACTGTTGTGATAAACATAATGTTGCAGATTGCAGTGTGACGTGTCTCAACATTATGCACTGTAACATCTGTTACAGTGCATATGTATTAGATGAATGTAATGCATATACATTACAACAACAAAGCTTTACATGAAGGTTATTTAAAGTAATACATTACTGCTTTCCTCACAATTTGTATATTTGGAGTTCTTTATAGACAACACTGTAGTAATGTATTATGTGAAAGTAAAGCTGCATCTCACTGGAAGCTGCCTTCTCAATGTCACAAAATAAAGATACATTTATTGATGTAATCAACATCTGTATTATGTGCTTATTGTTCAGAGAATGAAGACAAAATCAAAGTGTATCAGAGCTGTACAGTGAGATGTGGGACTGAAAAACAATTCCAGTAAAGCTTGTCCGAAACGCAAAAGTACTGTCATAACTAATTACGTTACACTATTACACTGTAAGGAAACTCACCACTTTGAAAGAAAAGCTACAAGTAACAGAATATATAAAGTCATTTGTCATAACGGTTCTTTCAGGAAGCACTGAACGCCCTCTGTCCAGAGAAGCTGATGACCAGATCCTTTCCCTGATGCGTCTGTGAAAGGTGCCAACAGACATTGAAAACGTGCTTTCCTCAGCGGCCCCCATGGTGCACGTCCTCAGTGGCCCCCATGGTGCACGTCCTCAGCGGCCCCCATGGTGCACGTCCTCAGCGGCCCCCATGGTGCACGTCCTCAGTGGCCCCCATGGTGCACGTCCTCAGCGGCCCCCATGGTGCACGTCCTCAGCGGCCCCCATGGTGCACGTCCTCAGTGGCCCCCATGGTGCACGTCCTCAGCGGCCCCCATGGTGCACGTCCTCAGCGGCCCCCATGGTGCACGTCCTCAGTGGCCCCCATGGTGCACGTCCTCAGCGGCCCCCATGGTGCACGTCCTCAGCGGCCCCCATGGTGCACGTCCTCAGCGGCCCCCATGGTGCACGTCCTCAGCGGCCCCCCATGGTGCACGTCCTCAGCGGCCCCCATGGTGCACGTCCACTCTGCAGTTCTGAAATATGTTTGTAGTTGTACTATTTCAAAATAAAAAAAAATACATACACCTCTTTCAATGTGCTTTGTTTTATAGTAGGAAAACAAATACAGTCTGTAACGAGTCTAAGAAACTTTATTATGTAAAAGAAGATTTGAAGTTATAGCCGGAAAAATATACACAATGTCCCTACTAAGACAAATAATTACAAGTGATGGTAAGGCAACGTTTGTGTTATCACTTTTTGCTCAAATGAATAACACTGTTATTATCCAGGTCCTTATCCATCGCTGCTGCAGCGAACACTATCAGAGATATCTAACAAAATGTTAATCTTTATGTTGTAGTTTGTTTGAACACATTTCCTCAAAATAATTCATAAGCAGCCACACACACACAGCCACACACACACACAGCCACACGCACACACAGCCACAAGCACACACAGCCACAAGCACACACAGCCACAAGCACACACAGCCACACACACACAGCCACAAGCACACACAGCCACACACACACACAGCCACAAGCACACACAGCCACAAGCACACACAGTCACAAGCACACACAGCCACAAGCACACACAGCCACAAGCACACACAGACACAAGCACACACAGCCACACGCACACACAGCCACAAGCACACACAGCCACGCACACACAGTCACAAGCACACACAGCCACAAGCACACACAGTCACAAGCACACACAGCCACAAGCACACACAGCCACAAGCACACACAGCCACGCACACACAGTCACACGCACACACACACACACAGCACAAGCACACACAGCACACACAGCACACACACACACACCACACACAGCCACACACACACACAGCCACAAGCACACACAGTCACAAGCACACACAGCCACAAGCACACACAGTCACACGCACACACAGCCACAAGCACACACAGCCACAAGCACACACAGCCACAAGCACACACAGCCACACACACACACAGCCACAAGCACACACAGCCACAAGCACACACAGTCACAAGCACACACAGCCACAAGCACACACAGCCACAAGCACACACAGTCACAAGCACACACAGCCACACGCACACACAGCCACAAGCACACACAGTCACACGCACACACAGCCACACGCACACACAGTCACAAGCACACACAGTCACAAGCACACACAGTCACAAGCACACACAGTCACACGCACACACAGCCACAAGCACACACAGCCACAAGCACACACAGTCACAAGCACACACAGTCACAAGCACACACAGTCACAAGCACACACAGCCACACGCACACACAGTCACACGCACACACAGCCACACGCACACACAGCCACACGCACACACAGTCACACGCACACACAGCCACACGCACACACAGCCACACGCACACACAGCCACACGCACACACAGCCACACGCACACACAGCCACACGCACACACAGCCACACGCACACACAGCCACACGCACACACAGTCACAAGCACACACAGTCACACGCACACACAGCCACACGCACACACAGCCACACGCACACACAGTCACACGCACACACAGCCACACGCACACACAGCCACACGCACACACAGCCACACGCACACACAGCCACACGCACACACAGTCACACGCACACACAGCCACACGCACACACAGTCACACGCACACACAGCCACACGCACACACAGTCATACGCACACACAGTCACACGCACACACAGCCACGCACAAACAGCCACACGCACACACAGCCACACACAGTCACACGCACACACAGCCACACACAGTCACGCACACACAGCCACACGCACACACAGCCACACGCACACACAGCCACACGCACACACAGCCACACGCACACACAGCCACACGCACACACAGCCACACGCACACACAGTCACACGCACACACAGCCACACGCACACACAGCCACACGCACACACAGCCACACGCACACACAGCCACACGCACACACAGTCACACGCACACACAGTCACAAGCACACACAGTCACACGCACACACAGCCACACGCACACACAGCCACACGCACACACAGCCACACGCACACACAGCCACACGCACACACAGTCACACGCACACACAGTCACACGCACACACAGCCACACGCACACACAGCCACACGCACACACAGTCACACGCACACACAGCCACACGCACACACAGCCACACGCACACACAGTCACACGCACACACAGTCACACGCACACACAGCCACACGCACACACAGTCACACGCACACACAGTCACACGCACACACAGTCACACGCACACACAGACACACGCACACACAGCCACACGCACACACAGTCACACACACACACAGTCACACGCACACACAGTCACACGCACACACAGCCACACGCACACACAGTCACACGCACACACAGCACGCACACACAGTCACACGCACACACAGCCACACGCACACAGTCATACGCACACACAGCCACACGCACACACAGTCACACGCACACACAGTCACGCACACACAGTCACACGCACACACAGCCACACGCACACACAGCCACACGCACACACAGCCACACGCACACACAGCCACACGCACACACAGCCACACGCACACACAGTCACACGCACACACAGTCACACGCACACACAGTCACACGCACACACAGTCACACGCACACACAGTCACACGCACACACAGTCACACGCACACACAGTCACACGCACACACAGCCACACGCACACACAGTCACACGCACACACAGTCACACACACAGCCACACGCACACACAGCCACACGCACACACAGTCACACGCACACACAGTCACACGCACACACACAGCCACACGCACACACAGCCACACGCACACACAGTCACACGCACACACAGCCACACGCACACACAGCCACACGCACACACAGTCACACGCACACACAGTCACACGCACACACAGCCACACGCACACACAGTCACACGCACACACAGTCACACGCACACACAGTCACACGCACACACAGTCACACGCACACACAGCCACACGCACACACAGTCACACGCACACACAGTCACACGCACACACAGTCACACGCACACACACACACACGCACACACAGTCACACGCACACACAGTCATACGCACACACAGTCACACGCACACACAGTCACACGCACACACAGCCACACGCACACACAGTCACACGCACACACAGCCACACGCACACACAGTCACACGCACACACAGTCAAACGCACACACAGTCACACGCACACACAGCCACACGCACACACAGCCACACGCACACACAGCCACACGCACACACAGCCACACGCACACACAGCCACACGCACACACAGTCACACGCACACACAGTCATACGCACACACAGCCACAAGCACACACAGCCACACGCACACACAGTCACACGCACACACAGTCACACGCACACACAGCCACACGCACACACAGCCACACGCACACACAGTCACACGCACACACAGCCACACGCACACACAGTCACACGCACACACAGCCACACGCACACACAGTCACACGCACACACAGTCACACGCACACACAGTCACACGCACACACAGCCACACGCACACACAGCCACACGCACACACAGCCACACGCACACACAGCCACACGCACACACAGCCACACGCACACACAGCCACACGCACACACAGTCACACGCACACACAGCCACACGCACACACAGCCACACGCACACACAGTCACACGCACACACAGCCATACGCACACACAGTCACACGCACACACAGCCACACGCACACACAGTCACACGCACACACAGTCACACGCACACACAGTCACACGCACACACAGTCACACGCACACACAGTCACACACAGCCACACGCACACACAGCCACACGCACACACAGCCACACGCACACACAGCCACACACAGCCACACGCACACACAGCCACACGCACACACAGCCACACACAGCCACGCTTCAGGGGCCCAGGTTGAAGGAACTGGAGTCTTCCTCTGGCAGAGATTTTCCTTTGAAACACAATAGAAGAGACATCAGTTTTATCTACTCAAATATGACTTTGATATATTCATCATCAACAACATCAGTATTTATTGATCACCAGGAGTGGCCCCTGATCTACAACAGTAGTATGTATTGATCACCAGGAGGGGCCCCTGATCCACAGGATCCTTGAACATGTTTATTTGGACTGTGAGAGACTGTGCATTGTGAGAGAAAGACACTTACATCGGCTGTTTTGGGAGTCGAGTGATTATCTCACTCCTCTTGATTGTTGAAGAAACTCAGCGACAGTTTTGTCAACACTGACTCCTGGAACATGATGGATATTCATTTTGGACCTCAGGGCAGCAACACAACTGTAGGGATGAACGACACACACATCACAACATCATTATCATAATCACTGCGTCCCATATATGCATTCACAACAACCTACATGACAAATGTGGGGTGTAAAGTCTTCCTCAGGAGATGACAATGGCCGATCTTCTAATTCTGGAAGCAAAGTCTTGTCTTCAGTCAATACTAGAGAAAGAAGAGGTCAGCAGAAA